CAGCCTTTCGCTGGAATGCTCGCTGGATAATCTGCACGCCGACCGCGATCTGATCCTTTCGATTGCAGGGGCTGGGGGCCTAGAGATATTCGGGGTTTTTGAGGGTTTAGGGTTCCTTTCAGGGCTCCTTTGAAGGTAGAGTTTGGGGTTTAGGGGTTAGGGGTTTAGGGTTTAGGGTTTGGGGTTCAAGGTTTCGGGATTTTCAGGATGCTCGTGGAGTTTAGGGTTCCAGTACGGGGCTTAGGATTTGGGATTCGAGGTGCTGCTGATCTTCAAAAGCCTAGCGCTTTGGAGTGGCTGTGTCTGGGGCTTGACACTTAGAACAGGGCTGCGAGGAGAACTAAACCATAGCTGCCACAGCTATAATAGCAATCTTAAGTTGCACATATTCTTGCAAGTAATCATCTGCCCCATCACCACTATCACCACCACGACCGCTGAGGCTCTATCGGGTTTAGGCTTAGGGTGTACTGACCATCGAGCCAAGATCAACAGTATCGTCGCGTCGCCGCTGCCAGCATCAACAACAATGCGGTGGCATCAAGGTGATCTATGGCAACAACCAAGCACAAATCAACGCACAATAACAACCAAAAAGCATCTATCGGCTACTAGCAGCAACTAACCCAGCGCCACCACTGCCACAATCACGACATCATACCAGATCAGTCTTAACCCCCAAACCCTACCCCCTGAACCCTAAACCCTACACCCTAAACCCGAAACTCGAACTGGGTGGTTGTCAAAATTATGACCCCTTTCTGGGTACCCTAAATATTAGATGCCGTATTATAAGGGCCCTAAAAGGAACCCTGATATTGACAACCACCCAACTCATGCCAGTCGTCTTCGCCTATCGTTTTCAGAACGTCGACCGTAGCGACCAATCCAAGCGAACCCGGGTTAGGGCCGAAGGTCCTAGGGGTTTGGGGTTTAGGGGGTTAGGGCTTTAAAGGAACTACAAGGGCTCCTAGAAGGGATCGATATGAGGGTACTATAGGGCTTAGGGATTTAGGGTGTAGGAGTCTAGGGCTGAGGGTCTTGGCTTAGGGGTTTAGGGCTGACCATTTAGGGTGTAATATGGGTGGTTCTCAAAATTAGGGTCCCGTTTTGGGTCCTTAGTATAATACGGCACCTATTATTTAGGGTACCCAAAAAGGGACCCTAATTTTGACAACCACCCATATAGGGTTTAGGGCTTAAGAAATGCAAAACGCTGTCCTCACTGCTCCCATACTCACCATGGTCCCTGTCCATCATCTCCCTCCACCGGAAGGCCCCGAACCCTAAAATCCTACACACAAAAGCCCACCAGTAAAACTTCTTTAATGGACAGACTAAACTCTAACCTCAAACCTGGCAGACATGCCCAAGAGTTCGCTGGAAACATGTAGAAGCTGAGTCGCAATCTTAAGTGCTAGAGTTGCAGTCTGGTTTCTGAACCCTCATCACTAAGCCCAGGTCCGAACTCCTCACCCCAGACACCCGACCTAACTTTCCAAGGAGTACATGTCATGTCCGCACAGTACGCTCTTGAGCCAGGCCTCCGTCGAGCGTGCATGCGGCTGTGCGGTTTGATTTCAGAGGTCTCCCACGACTTGGTAATCGTTGCTTCGGGGCTTAGGGTCACAGGGGTTTAGGGCTGCAAAAAAACCTTCGGCTTCAGGAAAGGAAAACTCATGATATTACACGCACTTTTTGGTAACACACGCGCTTTCTCTGTGATCTCCTCACGACCCCGCGGAAAAAGCTGTTGTGGCAGCAGTAGATGCCAAACATAGGGGTCATCGCCGCTCGAGGAAGGCTGCAACATGTGATTGATTATTGATAAACAGTGTTATGTAAAATATTAAGCATTACCAAGTATAAGTGATGAGTATTGGTTACTCTTTGTGATTATTGCAAGTTATTGTTAATTCTTATTAACTGCCCTGTATTTGCTAATTTTGGCAGTCCGGGCAGCCCAGGAGGAGGTTTGGCGGGGGTCCCTGCGGGATGTAGGGGTTTACGGAAACCCTAGACCCTAAACCCTAAACCCTAAATCCTAAATCCTAAACCCTAAACCCTAAACCCTAAACCCTAAACCCTAAATCCTAAATCCTAAACCCTAAACTGAACGTTCAGGGTCTGCGAAGCAGGGTTTCAGGGTGGAGGTTCTCGAGATGGGAGTTTCCCAAAGTAGCGAGTACCTTATTTTGGGGGGCCTTATATAAAAGGGTCCTACTATTTAGTGCACTGCATTAGGGTCCCCCTCTTTTTGGAAACCCCCAGATGACGACTTTAGCAGACAGGAGGATGGTGGGGGTCTCCAGAAAGCGAGAGAGCTTCTCATGGCGTTTCGCGTCGGTACGTGTCAGTATCGCACTCATGCAAAACACTGCACCTTTCTACTACACTCTCCAATGTAATGCTGCTGAAAGTCCTATAGTGTCCTAGTCTGCGACCCTCCAGCGAAAAGCCTGAAGATGCAAGACTCTCGAAACTCATAATCAGCCTCCAATTGCGGCACGATGCCCCTGGTCTTGACCAGTGGCCGGTGAACACTTCAAACGCACCCCGGCGAGCGAAGTGGGAATGGAGCTCATTTTGCGCGAGGGCTTCATCGTGGTTTCCCTGAGCATCTCTGAGCATTATGTAGCCCCAAACCCTAAACCCTAAACCCCTAAACCCTAAACCCCTAAACCCTAAACCCTAAACCGTAAGGAACTGGCACTTCGGAATATTGAGCCTGCACTGCAGTGTGGGACATCAATATTTAGGGTACCCAAGAAGGGACCATAATTTTGACAACCACCCATATGGGATGATGTTGGGAGTTGGAATCTACAAATGCAACTCAACCATATGGGAGTCTCCGAAAATGGGGGTACCTTATTTAGGGGTCCTTATAATAAGGATCCTACTATTTAGGGTACTATATTAGGGTCCCCTATTTTCGGAAACTCCCAAATGAAACTCAGCAATACTCTGAAACAACCATGCCCTAAACTTAAACCCTAAACATTTTCATCCTTCGCTCGCCCGAGCCAGCCACTCAGCTCCTCTACAAACAACACCCTGAACGCGAGGCTATTGGGGTTTCAGGGTTTGCTTTCAGATTTTAGGACAAAATATAGTTTAGGGTTTAGGGGTTAGGATTTAGGACAAAGTCATGTGGGGGGGCCTGAAAGATTAGGGATATTATCCTATGTTTGTCATCGGGACTATACGGGACTAATGGCACTAACTGTTTAGGCGGCTTCTATAGCTTAGGGTTTAAGCACTGCGATTTGCATGAGAGAGGATTCACTGCTTCGGATTTAGCGTAGACTCGAGAGTTTGGTGTACGATGCCCTGGGAGAAAGACAGGCACCCAACCCGCAACTCGACAACACCTTGAAACGCTTCGAGACTCATCCGAAAAGACTTCTAGCGGGTCTATACCTGGAGGATCATGGGACTTAGTAAATAGGTTATAATTGGGGTTATAAGTCCCCTAAGTGGTGTTATCCTAATTATAACCTACTTATAACCTTACTTACTAGTCCCATGAGCCTTTAAGTAAGGGTTCTATACAACAAGGTTTAGGACTTAGGGTTTAGGGTTCATTTTTCGATACAACAAGGCTTAGGACTTAGGGTTTAGGGTTCATTATTCGGTACAACAAGGTTTAGGACTTAGGGTTTAGGGTACATTATTGTATACAACAAGGTTTAGGACTTAGGGTTTAGGGTTCATTATTGTATACAACAAGGTTTAGGACTTAGGGTTTGGGATTCAGTATTCTAAACAACAAGGTTTAGGACTTAGGGTTTAGGGTTCATTAAGGTTCTATGAAGGTTTGTTACAAGCTTCCATACGAGTTCGAGGAGGCGTCCACCGGATTTTGAGGCTTAGGACGTGGGGCTTGGGTACCCTCCCACCCCAATCCGTTAGGAAACTGGTTTAGGTAATGGCAACTCTAGGCCACAAAACTGGAAAAAATCAACCAAAATCAAAGAATGCCTCAAAATCCCCCCCCCATATAATCATTCCACCAACAGCGAAACTGTAGCGTGGCGCTGCAAAGGTGAGAACAAACACTCGGAAGAAAATAAAACACTCGGAAGAAAATCAACCTGGCACATTCTCACATGATATAGTATAGTCTCATATACTACTACAGGAATGTGGCTGAGCCGCGTGTTTCCTGGATCGGGATCGTCGGTGCTTCTGACTTAGCCGGGAGAAAGGTTTAGGTTTTTGTCTTACAGGTTTGGCTTTGAGGTCCCAACCTTAAACCCTAACAGTTGGGCTTTGAGGTTCAGGGCTTGGGCCGTCTCCATGAGCAAAACCGCAAGCGCATGAATGAAACAACACATCGACTAATCACTGTAATGATATTTCTCGAATATCCGTAACCGTCTTCAAGATTGCGTGAGAAGACAAGTTACTTAGGTTTTCATAGGAGTCGTTCAGGGGCAGTCTGCAAAGGCCCAGTGCCGATTGCTTGCGCAGTTTACAAGAAGCACGTTGGCTTCTCTCGTGGCTGATATTCGCTTCTCGGGTGAAACCTCCGATGCCCGGTCTCTATCAGCGGATGCAATGATAGGGCCACGGGTGAAGACGAACAATTCAACTCTTCCACACTTGTTGCCGACATTTCGTACTACCTGTTGCTCTGGTGTTCTACTCCGTTTCAGCTTGGCCACGGTCTTTTCTGCCTCGCTGGCAGGTCTCGCAGAGCATCTGAGAACATTGTTATAGGACGCCCAGCACCTCAGCAGCAGCGCAGCAGTTTGGGGCTCTAGCGTGTAGCCTTCTAGGCTCTATGGTGCAATGAACGCTGTACCCTTTAGGCTTATACTCTTGAGCTTCAGGGTTCTAAAGTTCAGCGATACTCTCGGGACCTGGGCCGGGTCTGTCTGGTTTGGGATTTGGGCTTTTGAAGGGAGGCTCTACACCCTCAAACCCTAAACCCCAAACCGTTAACTCCAAACCCTTAACCCTAAACCGCAAACAAACCCGAAACCGCAGGGCGCCTACATCAGGGCGGCCGCTGTCTCCTTGTGTTGCATCTTCCTGGGCTGAAGTTAAGAGCTCCATCCCTTGAGAAGGCTCAGGGCTTGCGGCTTAGGATATAGGGCTTAGAGAGTCTAGGGATTAGAGCTTTACCCTTATAGGCTCTAAGGACTCATATTTTAAGGCTTTTGGGCCCAAAAACCATACTATACAAGGCTTTTGGGCTACTTTGAGCCTTAGGTTAGGGTTTAGGGTTTAGGTTATGGGGTTGGTGTGGACCTTGAACCTTGAAGAATCAAGACTGCCCTGTGTCTTGCATGGTCTCTGTTCATACCACTTGCTGCGAAGTAGCTCTGCCACCTGCGCCGCCGTATTGCCCTGGCAAGGCACAGCAGGCTTTTCCAGGCTGGTGTCGGTATCCAGACCCTTCTTACAGAATGGCTTGTTTCATTACAGATAGCATATGGGAGTTTCCGCAAATAGGGGACCTTAATATCGTCCTTTTTGAAAGACCCCCAAATAAGGTTCCCCTAATTTTCGGAAACACCCATATCATGGCAATCGAAGTCTAACAGTGAAACCCACGTTCATCGGCCGATGCTCGGCAGATTCTGACGGCACACGACTCTCCCGATTTGGGGCCCTCAGGATGGGCCAACAAAACTGTGAGTGCGTAAAAACCGGCATTGGGAGAAAAAGGGTTCAGGGTTTAGGGTTTTGGAATTTAGGGTTTAGGCCAGAACCAAAAAAATGCTTTCTCCCTGGAGCCCGATTCCCCGAAACCCGTCCTGTTGGCTCTTTGCATCGTACCCTAAGTGGGGTTATATGTAATTAAAAGTATAGTTACCTTAATTACAAGCCTACTTACTAAGTCCCATGATCCTCTAAGTAAGGTACCCTCCCCGAGACCCGTCCTGCTCGTTCTTTGCATCCTTCTGGCCGAGGCTGGCGAGGAGTCGCGCCACTTCGGTCCTTCCACCAACAGCCTCAATGGGGTAATGTAGGGGCCTCACTAATTCGAGTGGGGTTCCTTAAAAGGTTTCACGGATTTAGGCTTAGGGTTCAGGGGTTTGGGTTTAGTGATTTTAGGCCTCTGCAAGTCGAAGTTGTAAGCATGTCCAAGCCGGCAGATGGAAGCATGTCGGGTTTAGGTTTTGGGTAGCTGTCAAAATTAAGGTCCCCTTTTTGTACCCTAAATAATAGGTGCCGTATTATCATGGGGACCCAAAAAGGGACCCTAATTTTGACAACCACCCGTTTTGGGGAGGGTTAGGAGTCAGGGTTTGGGGTTGGGGGTTGAGGATTCCAGATCCTCCGACGCCCCAGTGTTTCATGCAGACAAACAAGCTCCAATATCATCGTCGTTGGCAAACCTGACAAACCCGGTGACAAACCCTAATGTAGGAACCTGATTAAGAAACGCTGGGCCTATAACCCCAAACTAGTAGGGTTCATATCAGGAACCCTAATAAAGGCCCAGGGTTTCTTAATCAGGTTCCTACATTATTATAGTACCCCTATAGATCCCTTATAGTACCCTTATAGATCCCTTATAGTAACCATCATAGAGCTACTCAAAGTCACTGAGCCTCACACCAGACTCTAGATCCGGAACAAAATCTGAAGCAAGCCTGAGCCCCAGCAGGCCCTGACTCCCGAATTCCGGACCCTGTGAACTCCGCGTCTTCAAGAAGTGCTTCAATTCTTTTTAGGTCTTAGTATAGGATAGGTATAGGATAGGTATTAGTATAGGATAGGATAGGTATTAGTATAGGATAGGTAAAACCTCGAAAGAAGGCAACCTACTCTTAACCATGATGGGCTTTGGAGTCCATGCTGAGGCTTTGCACCCAACATCCTGCAACCTTTAACCTTTAACTGCCCTGAGCCACAATCCCTGAACATCCAAACCCTTGACCCTGAAGCGTCCCAAGCCCTTTTCCGTCTTCCTGCTTTAAACATAGACCCTACAAGGTTTGTTTTTTTCAAAGTGCAATGGGGCCTTTTTCTGCATGAGGTCCAGCCGGTTTCCGGGGTCTAGGGTTTAGGATTTAGGGTTTAGGGTTTAGGATTTAGGGTTTACGGTTTAGGGTTTAGGATTTAGGGTTTAGGGTTTAGGGTTTAGGATTTAGGGTTTAGGGTTTAGGGTTTAGGGTTTACGGAAGTTTTCTGGGAAGCGCGCTGCCCAGTGAAGCGCCGTCTGCATCTCCGAATCGGTCTCAGTGCTGCCGGCACGTTTAGGGTCCCAGAGACTCCAATACCCCTTAATTAAGGAATATACCTTAAATTATAGTAGGGTCCCTAATAAAATTTAAGGTATGTTCCTTAATTAAGGGTATTGGAGTCACTGGTGTCTTCCTTAAGATTCCCTTTAAGTTTCCTCTCAAGGTTCCTGTACGGGATCTACTTAAAGGCTCATGGGACTTAGTAAGTAAGGTTATAAGTAGGTTATAATTAGGATAACCCCAGAGGACGTATAACCCCAATTAGAACCTACTTACTAAGCCCCATGATCCTCTAAGTACAGGGGCACTTTAAGTGTTCCCAGCCAGGGACCGGGGGCTCGGAGTTAAGGGCGCCGGGCTTGAAGTGCTTGTGGCGTAGACCTTTAGGTCCTTTGGCAGAAGGCGTTTGGGTCAAAACCCTAGGGTTTTAGGGTTTTGTTAGGCCTTAAGCCCTGATCCGCGATGCCTAGACCCTGAACCCCCATGACTAAACCCTCGTGCCTAAGCCCTAATCCCTGAACGCCACGCCCCTAAATTCCCTGAATGCAACATACACTCACCAGTCAGCTTCCTACCGGCCGCAGCGTAGAAGGAACCCTTGGGGCTTCGGGGTCTCCTTTTCGGGTTTAGGGTTTAGGGTTTGGGGTTTAGGGGGTTTAGGGTGTAGGGTTTCGGGTTTAGGGTATAGGGTTTAGGGTTAAGGGTTTAGGGTTCAGGGTTTAGGGTGTAGGGTTTAGGGTTCAGGGTGCAGGGTGTAGGGTTTAGGGTCTAGGTCCAGGTGCATGGACCGGATTACGTGCAGGTGCCCCTACAGACCCGTACCAACGCGGTCTGAGATCCAGGCCAGCGATGTGTCAGCCTTGTTTGTCAAGAGAGTCTTCACCTCGGGGTCAAGACTTTGGATTTAGCGGTGTAGAGTCTCAAACGATCCTGCAATGCATCATTGGTGGGTCCAGTGTTTAGCTTAGAGGAAGGGCAGTTTGATGACGAAGGGGCTAGCGGCTCCTGCGCTTCAGAACAAGAAGCGCAGGGAGTTCGACCATTGGTTTCTGAGCTTGAAAAGGCCTTTCGATTTTGGGGTTCCGCGGTGTCTATAGTCTCAGGAGGGGGCTTGGGTCTATGGCAGGGATGGACACCTACACTTAAAGTCTACAATATGTCCAGCCCAATCCGAAACCATAAATCCTAAACCAGAACTCTAAAGCCTATTAGCCCTATGTTGAACACCCAAACCCTGAGCCATCATATCATCACGCCAAGGAGCCCTGCCGAATACTATTGGTAATCATTCAGGCCCACATAATGCCGGGGCCTAAATCATTAATTCTTCTTCGGGGGTTCCTGATTATGAATATAGTACAATCGGCCTCAAGACCCTATTCAAATTTTCAAGGCCCCTATATTATTCGATGCTTGATTCCCTTGACTCTAACCCCCTCAATTACTCAACAGACCCCCGGACTGCAAAGAATCGACACTGACACTGGGACGGTAATACGTAAAAGCCTGTTTCTGAAGGGGGTTTTGCTAAAGAGGATATAGTCCTAATTCTTCAGAAGCTCCTCAGGTACACTCAACCAGACCCTCTCATAAACCCAGCATCACAAAACCCCTCAAGTTGGCAGCTGCTACAAAACCCCTTAGTGCTCCCTGGACCCCGAGCACTACCCTGAACCAAAAAGCCCTAAACCCCTGAACCAAAAAGCCCTAAACCCTGAACCCTGCGGTTTAGGGTTTAGGGTTTAGGGTTTAGGGTTTAGGGTTTAGGGTTTAGGGTTTAGGGTTTAGGATTTAGGGTTTAGGGTTTAGGGTTTAGGGTTTAGGGTTTAGGGTTTAGGGTTTAGGGTTTAAGGTTTAGGGTTTAGGGTTTAGGGTTTAGGGTTTAGGGTTTAAGGTTTAGGGTTTAGGGTTTGTGAAAGGGAGCCGTAGCTGTTCTATAAGGCTTCTACAAGGCCTTAGCGTTTGGGGTCAAAGGTCAAGGTCCAACTGGGGATCAGGGTGCAGGGTTTACGTGTTGGCCTTTCTCTTAGGAAAGCAACATACATTAGAAGCTGCCCCCACCCTGTAATAGTGACTATAAGGATGATATTAGGGCCTATTATATTCCTATTGTACACCTATTACAGGGTGGGGGCAGCTTCTAAAGCATACACAACCTCCGCCGCAACAGGTTTCAGCACGCATCTTCCGAACCCGAGGCCTTTATCCAAAACCCAAAATATGTACGAACTAAGCAAACAAAACGAATTTGGTATTGTTGTACAAACAACATAGACAAATTAGAAACTTAACCGCAACACAACATGAAGAAATGAAGACAGTGAACCCTTTAAAAGCCCCCACAGACTTATATATTATATATCAACACACATCCAGACAAATACAGATAGCTACAAACAACGACAAGAAGAAGAAGTGTGACACCCAAGGGCAAGATTAAAACAAACGACAGTACTCCGCAGGAGTACATAAAACAGTCCTCACCACAACCCTAAACCCTAAGCCCTAAACCCTAAAGCGTAACACTAGTAGCAACACAAGCACCGCAGCCAGCTGGGCTCCCTGGCGACGTCGAGATGACCTCCCTGCGAGGCGAACATCAGGGCCGACCTGATGTCAGGGCCCTGTTTAGAGGGGTGTTTAGGGTTTCGAGGTTAGGGTTTAGAGTTTAGGGTTTAAAGCTTCTTTGAAAGGTGTCATGGTTTTTGGGGTTTAGGTTAAGGGTCCAGGGTCTGGGGCTCACTGTTTTAGAGGGGTCCTGTGAAAGTTCTACACGGGCTTTACGGTTTAGGCTTCAGTGATGGTAAATAGGACGACTTGAAGCGCTAGGGTTCGAAAGCAGGTGTTAAGATTCGTCTAAGGGTTTAGAAGAGGTTAGGCAGAGGATGTTGCATTCAGGTGGTGGGGGTTCACCCATGAGATGCATACAGTCTGTGTTTATATGTGGGCATTCTGCATCTTTACGAGCATCGGCTAGGATGACTCTAGAGTCTTACAAGATGTTTGCGCTGGCCCAATACAAGAAGGGTTTTGGTTTAGGGTTTAGGGTTTAGGAAGTGATTGGAATGTCACTTCTAGGAATTCTGGCTCTTGCTGCTGCCATGCATACTGGTGCGCCACGCTTTGGTGCTGCCTCCAGAACTTCTTCCACATGCACGTTGCGGGATAGTTCAGCACTTAGAGGATCATGGGACTTAGTAAGTAGGTTATAATTGGGGATATGAGTCCCCTAAGTGGGGTTATCCTAATTATAACCTACTTATAACCTTACTTACTAAGTCCCATGAGCCTTTAAGCAGGTTTCAAAAAGCTTGTTCAGAGAAGATGTGGTCACAATCGTGGACTTCCGGATTTCACGGCACAAGCCGTGGCCTTAACAATCCCTCCACATTGATGCTATATGGGAGTTTCCGCCAATCAGGGGTACCTTGTTTTGGGGTCCTTATAATAAGGATCCTACTGTTCAGGTTACTATATTAGGGTCCCCTATTTTCGGCAAAACTCCCGTATTGTAACCCTCTTGTTGAACTCCTACTCTGAATGCTGACTATTGGGACTCCCAGTAGGTTGAAGACTTCCTGTCTTTTATAGCGATTACGTATCCTAGGTTACCCAGTAACCTAGGAATAAAAAGGCCTCTCTTTTTGGTATTGGTTAACTTTATAAGGAACCTAGGACTACAAAAAGGTAATAAGCGTACTACTGGGCATCCTAGTAGCGATTCCTCCGAAGCGCCGACTACAGTGCTCTCCCTAAAACACTCCGCACACTTAAAGGCTCATGGGACTTAGTAAGTAAGGTTCCTTACAGGGGTCCTTATACGGATCTATAGGGTTCCTTAAAGGGATCTATAGGGTTTAGGGTTTACTTAAAGGCTCATGGGACTTAGTAAGTAAGGTTATAAGTAGGTCATAACTAGGAGAACCCCACTTAGGGGACTTATATCCCCAATTATAACCTACTTACTAAGTCCCATGATCCTCTAAGCAGGACTCCCCTGCCTCTTGCCGTGGCGCTCCTGGTGATTCACCTCTGCACCCTTCTTCAGAAGCACCTGCAGAAAACTGGTTAGACTAGGGTTTTGGGTCCCATTATACTACACTTTTAATAAGGAACCCCCAAAATAGCATAGGTAATTATTTTGGGCCCCAATATAGCATCATTTAGGCCCCTAACAAAGCACCAAATAATTCTGCTGCGAGCCTTCCGTGGCATCTCGAGGGTTTTGGGCTTATCTGATCTTTTCAACTGCACCCCGCCAAGGTCCCCTGAGTTTCAGGGTTCCCGGGGGGGCAGCCCGGGGATCCCTAACACGCTAATACTACCCTAAACCCTCATCCCTAAACCCCAAACCCCAATCCCTACACCCTAAACCCTAATCCCCAAACTCTAAACCCCAGTGGTCCCTAATCCCTACACCCTAGACCCTAATACCCTAAACCCGAATCCCACCTCACATGCCGGAGTGCTGCCCATGAATGCAGCCATCATCAAGGCACTGACGCCGTGCTCATCCACCACGTTGCCTTCGGCTCAAGGCGCTTAAGGCCTAGCATAACCCCAAAGAGCCCGACCTTGTTCAGAACTTATAAAAGTTGTATCATGTAAGGACATCATAATAAGGAACCCTAAAAGAAGGTAGGTTTTGTATTCGTTAGGACTTCGAGTAGGGCTGACGATAATGCAAAACCTCCGGAACCTATTTCCAAAGCCGAAGACCTGGATGCAAAAGTGCAGCCCATGGCTTGAAACACTCCGCAACGGTAATTAGGTGGCAAGGTGAAGGATTTAGGTTTCTTGATGTAGACTCAAGATTTGGGGTCACCAACCCCGGAGGGGATATGATTAGACTGCAGTGAAAACACTTCGGCACGAACATCTCGATTTATCCCTCAAACTGGAGGAGCCCTGCGCCTTACTCAGGGCATCATACGACCTCTGCAAGCTGAACGCTAAACAAACACTAAGAAAACACTGATAGTAACAATGCGAGAATGCTAATAGCACGAATAGCAGTAGTACTCGCCATAGTAATCGTAATCGGAAAACTGTTAGTAATAGTGAGAGTACCAATGCCGAGCAGCAGCAACCGCTGTACGGATGCTGAAGACAACAATAGTAGCTTTTGAGAGTAAAAATAAACGGAGTAGTACAAGTAATAACAATATACTAACGATGATAATAAGAATAATAATAACGTTTACAACAACAAGAACAAAAGTGCAGCTGACATGAACAGCAAGGATGTGCCAGCACTTAGTGATCCTTCTAAGGGCTCTTTTTGTGGCTCCTTGAAGCTAGGGATGTTCTGAAAGTAGTGTTCTGTGGGGTTCAGGTGTTTTAGGATTTATGCGATGTCAAGGTTTGGGCAAAAGAATCACGAACTATCGAAACCTATCCCTTTTAGGACATCACAGAACAGGCTAAGAGGGGGTGCTAGCGAAATCTGGGCGTGCTTGCTCACCAAGGATGCTGAGAGGCGTGTGTTCTGCCCGCGACTGAACCCGAACCTAGATCCTAACCCCACGGAGAGTTTCCAAAGGCCCGAGTTTTTTGTCCAAGGCCCTAAAGGGAACTCTAGAAAATTGGAATATGGATTAATAGTAGGATCCCCTATAATTTACCTTAAAGGGGTTACGATAATGATACTCCAACTTTCTGGCTTCTACTGTAATCCAAGCTTTCGAGCCCTGGACCCCACTCTCTCAACCCTAAGCCCGAGACCCACACCCCAAACTGAAGACCTCACAGAACCAGTTTAAGGTACTCCGAAGCACAATAACATGGGGGCCTTAATAATTAGAATAGGGTTTTGGGCTTTGGGTTTGTTTATACTGTAATTATAATAAGGAGCCCTCAAATTATTAAGGCTTCAAAAGTATGCAGTTTACAACTAACACTGAAAGGCCTGGCACACCGGCATCCAAACCCGCTTCGAGCTTCTTCACCTCGGTGGAGGCTTTGTCTACTTCAAGATACAGGCTGTTTAGGGTTTAGGGTTTAGGGTTTAGGGTTTAGACGGTTTAGGGGTTTAGGGTTTAGGGTTTAGGGTTTAGGGGTTTAGGGTTTAGGGTTTAGGGTAGGATTCTTCGGGTTTAAAGTTGGGGGTTTCGCGTTTAGGGTGCAGGGTTTCGCGTCTCCGATTAGGGTTTAGGCTTTAGAATGTAGGGTGACCGGCTGGGTTTTTCAGGGCTTTCGGGGCTTCTGGGCTTGCTAGACGCTTAAAGGATCTTTCTGAAGGCTCTCCTAAAGCGCACCTAAAAGGGCCCTTAAACGAATCCCGAAAATCATCCCTACAGAAACCCTTAAAGAACCCCCGAAAGGAATGCTTCAAGGAACCCTTGTGTTAAAGTTGCGGGATTCCATGGCGTCGGGCTGAAGGATCTTTAGTGGGGTGTTCGAAGCTTCGGGCTTTGGGGTTTAGGGTCCAGGGCTTGGGGAGGTAGGGTTGAGAGATTGGGGGTTTAACGGTTTAGGTTTAGGGTTTAGGGGTTTAGGGGTTTAGGGGTTTAGGGGTTTAGGGGTTAGGTTTAGGGTTTAGGGTGTAAGGGTTACTTGGAGGCTCATGGGACTTAGTAAGTATGGTTCTCAGTACCTTAAGTGGGGTTATAAACAGTTATAGGTACAGTTACCTTAATTATAAGCCTAGTTACTAAGCTAAGTAGGGTTTAAGGTTTAACGGTTTCCCGGTGCAGGTTCTGCATGGAAGCTCACTGCACCCGCATGCAGAAGCTGAGCGCTGGGACATTTCCTTCCTTGGCTGCCTGAAGCAGGCGAGAAGGACAATATGTGCGCACGTATAAACAAATAGGTGTATGTATATATGTATATATATGAATATATATATATATATATATATATATATATCGCGCGAAACATAGAGAGAGAGATGGAGATAGTATACTTAGAACCTTAGCCAGATGCCTCAAGCGAGGAACTGAGGGACACAGCAGCTACAATCTGTGCTCACAAAAACCATGTCCGCAATCCGCATGTTCCTACTAATGCAAACCTCAGAAGGGGCCCCCCACCCTGTAATAGTGGTATAACCGGAATAAAATAGGGCCCAATATAATCCTTACAGTCACTATTACAGGGTCGGGGCCCCTTCTAATGCAAACCCGTGAGAGTTTAGGGTTCATTAAGGTTTAGGGTTTATAGAATTTGTATAGGGTTCCTACTAATTCAAACCCGTGATTAATGAACTTCCTCTATCTTGGGACCTGAAGGCCGGGGATCCTCATGATTCAAAGGGGAAAAGGAGGGACCCTTCATTTAGGGCTCTTAGGTTCCTTTAAAGGGATCTATAAGGGTTTAGGGTTTAGGGGATAAGGAGGGGCCCTTAATGGGGACCCCTACCTATATAATGGGTATATAACGGCTATATTAAGGGTATATACATAGGGGTCCTTATTCAGGGTCCCTCCTTTTCCCCTTTGAATGATAATCCTTTCAAGGCAGCGGGAGCTTGTTACCCCAAAACCCTAAAGTACTATGTGCCTCGGCGTTCCTTGGAAAGAAATCCTCAACCGAATCAGCTCAGATCCCCAGAGACCCCCAAACCCCTTAGTTAAGGCATGTACCTTCAACTATAGTGGGATCCCTGATATGATTTAGGGAATATTCCTTAATTAAGGGGTGTTGGTGTCTCTGGGTCTCTCCTGCCTGCAAGAAAGGAGAGACCAAGTCCTTCCAAGCAAAGCTGTGCATTTGTACAGTTTAGGGTTTAGGGCTACCATCCAATATCATATATAGTACTGTACTAAAAACAATAACCGTATTACTAGTGGTAGTACTACTACTGCTCATTGTGCTAATCTAGTAATAAGAAGAAGAATAGAGTAGGGGTTAGGGCTCAAGGTTTGGCTACTAAAGCTTCTAGTACAGGTAAGAATCAACAGAAGTAGGGATGAAGTCGCAGGGTTTGGCGGTGAAGTCTCAGGGTTACTTGCAGCTGCAGGTCCTGGTCGAAGCGGATCATCCATATATCCCTTCCTGGCATCACGCTGCTCAGGGTTTAAGGGTTTCGGGTCTAGGGATTAGGCTTTCGGATGTAGGGCTTAGGGTTTAGTGTTTGGGTTTAGTGCTCCGACGGTTTATTCAGGGGTTAGTGGCGTAGGGATGTGGGATTCAGAGTGTTCCGCCTGAAGCCAGCAAGGTCCAAGAAGGGCTCTGTAAGGTTCGTACACAGGGTTCTTACACAATGCCCCAGCGTACCATCCTCATGCAGGGGTTGTTCATGGACAAAGCTGCACTAGAAAAGAGGCACTAATACATACATATCATACTGGAAACTCTTGGGACGCCAACACTCTGTTTTCCAAACGCTCGTGAAAACTCTCAAAACAAACCGTCTCCCAAATCCGTGTGCAAAACCCCTCTAGCCGTTTTTGAACTCACCTCCCGTGACAACCTTTACGACCCCCTTCACAAACTATAAGTAAAGGTAGAAGATGAGTAGGTGACTAGATAGAATACACAATGAATCATAAGAAAAGATGGGAATTGACTACAAGCAGCAGGCCTGGGGTATCCACTTTCGCTGCCAGCTCCCCGGGTACGCAAAAAGCAACGCAGAACTCCGAGTTCTTCGACGCAGCCTCTCAGGAGTGGGTTTTTGGGCTCAGGGAATCTAGGGTTTAGGGTTAAGGGTTTCGGGGCTCGGGGACTTTACGTTCCCACTACGGGTGTCCGTAATGCGCAAAATGAGCAAACTGGATTGGAAGAGCAGCTACAACGTCAGGAAGAGGATATCGTCGGCTTGGGAGTTTAGGGGTGCAACGTCGAGGGATGAGGGTAGGGGTTTATCCAGGGACTCCCACATCCGTCAAATTCCGGAATGTCTCTGACTCAAAGTGCACTTCGAAAAGAAAGGGCCTTTAACGAATTAAGCCTGAATTTTCGGTTTCAAACCTTTCGGAGTCTTTGAACCCCTAGGGAGATGAGTGTGGAAGCTCAGAGTTTGCGTTGGTTTAAGGATGTCGGTTGTAGAGTTTGGATTCTTTTTTGGGGGGACCCTTATAAGACCCTTTAAAGAGGGACCCTTATAGGACCCTTTACAGGGACCCTTATAGATCCCTTTAAAGGGCGCCTCTTTCGAGACTGGAGAGCTGCCACGAATCCCCAAAGGGAAGGCGAGGCAACCACAGTAGGCCACCCTACTTGGAGCATCATGGGACTTAGTAAGTAAGGTTATAAGTACCCTAAGTGGGGTTATATGTAACTATAAGTGTAGTTACCTTAGTTATAACTCTGGATACTAAGTCCCATGATCCTTTAAGTAGGGTTTAGGGAAGTTTAGGGTTTAGGGTTTGACTTCGGGCGCAGGGCTTTGGGGGGACTTCTTGAACCTTATGTATAATCCACAAAGCGCTCTCTGGGCTTCAACCAACTCCCCTACATGCAAGAACCACAATGAAGCGCAGATGCAGATCAGAGTCGAGCTACTGTCAATCATTGTAACCCCCCATCCCCCAACATGAATCCCCCCGGGCCATAATTACAAGAATAGGTTTTTGGGGCCCACTATACTGTAATTCTAATAAGGAACCTAAACCCTAAACCCTAAACTCTAAACCAACACCCCGCCGAAACCCAACACCCCAAGACCCTCTAGGGCTTAGTCTCAGCTTCAGCTTCTCAGGGATCCCCCAAGGGAACCTTTTAGGGCTCCTTTAAGGGTTTAGGTTTAGGGTTTTTTTTTGATGGTTTAGGGTTTAAGGGATCCTAAACCTACATCGGGTGCCTCCGGATCTTTGGCCCCAAAGTTGTTCGCAATGTCTGCGAGGCTCTGGAAATCCGCGGGCTCCTGCGAGACGTTTAGGATTTACGGGTTTAGGGTTTAGGGTTTAGAGTTTTGGGATTTAGGGTTTAGGGCTTAGGGGTTTAGGGCTCAGGGGTATAAGGGTTTGCGGGATTAGGGGTTTGGGGTTTGGGTTATATAAGCGGAACCCCTCGAACCCCATGAGTCGACTACGGGTTTTTGTTAAGCTCCTCTTCCTCAGTGCTGGGGGCACTCAGCCCAAAGAAGAGTTGGGGGTTTGGGGTTCCTGAATTGGTCCGGTGACCTAGCGAGCAGGCTTCTATAGGGCTTTCCGTCGAGGTTGCCAGGGTTCCGGAAGCACTCTTTCGGGGCTTGAAGCTTGAAGGATCAGGGGGCGTTGTAAGTAAAGTTATCAGCAAGCTCACTGAAGTCACCATTTCTTGTAGCCCCAACCAAGGTGCTCAGACTTCTACCTCTAGCTGCCCGTGAACCTCCAAACGAAGACTTCGACTCCTTCTCCGTGGCAGGGAGCGTCGGTGGGAGAGCTCCCTCCAACATGTGCTTCACACCGTCCTGGCCGGCTGGTTTGGAGCGGAGGCAGTACCGTTCAGGGTGGAGGGCTTGTGGTTTAAGGACTTAGGGCTAACATCCCCGGCATCCCATTCAGAGCGAACATACAAAGCGCACCCTTTGGCAGAGTGTACAGCTTTGAGAAGGAAATACCGCCAAACAAAGGATAAAAAAGGATGCTACTGGAGGACCTAGTCAGGGCTCTAGAGTAAAGCTCAGGTTCGGCGAGTTCAAGACTTAAGCGTTCTGGATCCCTGAAAGGAACCCTTCAAGGAATCCTTAAAGGAAACATTGAAGGATCCTTCCTTTTAAAGGACCCCCCCTTACAGGGAATATCGTTCTCGTTGCGTAATCGTTACTGCCCTTATGCTATGTTTAGCACGCACAGCTGATACAACAGCTGGTATGGCCGCTGTCTGCAGCTCCTGTCCCCAGTAAGTCGGAAGGGATCCCTTGCTACTAGAAGATACCCAACCTGCTCTGACATTATCCCCACTACTCAGCCCTAAACCCTGGATCATGGCGAGATACAGCAGCGAGGAGGAAGGAAGACTAGGTCTTCTTGGTCTTCTGGGGGTTCAGGGACTTTCGGGTTTGGGGTTTTCGGGTGTGCTCCAGGCTTTTTTGACTCCTCTCCAGGTTTAGAGCATAGGGTTCAGGGATGGGTGTGGGCGTTTGAGGGCTCGACTTTCCGTCCAGCGCTCGGGTGGAGGCTTCGGGGTTCGGAATTCAGTGTGTTTTAGCATTAAGACTTCACGGCTTATATCGTGATTTAGAGTTTCGATAAACCCTAAACACTAAACAAGAAACTTAAACCCTGAACCCTCAAGGTGTAGCTTTGCTGAGCGCGTTAGGGCTTGAGGCCAAAGGGTCTCTGCTGATAAACCCTGCAGCATGCCAGGGCTCGACTCCCCAGACGTCACCCGGTCTGGGGTTTAGGGTTTAGGGTTTGGGCTTTAGGGTTTGGGGGACGGACCAACTGCAAAACTCTGAAATTTCCGAAAATGGGTGGACCCTAATATAGTACCTTAAAAAATCGGATCCTTATTATAAGGGCCCCAAAATAAGGAAACCCCCAAACCCTAGGAGTTTTGAATTCATGTTGAAAGCCTTTCGGAGCTACGGGCCCCCTGAGCCTCCGTCGTTAAGTAGACCCTGAACCCCAAAAGATCCCATTCTAAGGAACCCTTACTTGGAGGGTCGGGGGACTTAGTAACTGGTTATTTTAGGGACTTATAAGTACCATAACCCCAATTAAGGTCCCTTTTAGGGTACTTATAAGTCTACTAATTATCTACTTACTAAGTCCCCCGACCCTCCACGTATAGATCCCTTTTAAGGAGCCCTTTAAGGAACCCTTTTAGGGCCTGAAAGACCAGCAAGAGCCAAGGATCCTGTAGGGTTTGGGATCTAGGGGCTTCGGGTCGAAGGGCTCTACGGTTTACGGTACGATGTGCAGCTTTTGACGAGCCCCCCCCCAAACCCTAAACCCTAAACCCGAAACCCTAAACCCGAAACCCTAAACCCCAAAACCCTAAACCCTAAACCCCAAACCCCCCGCCCGCCCCCGGAGCCTCGCTACAGTAGGAGAACAGCACCCGGTAGCCCTGGTGGTGGTCCCTGCGGCACCAAGTGGGAGTTTCCGAAAAGAGGGGACCCTAATATAGTTCCCTAAATAGTAGGATCCTTATCATAAGGACCCTAAAAAAGGTTCTCCTAATTTTCGGAAACTCCCAAATGCAACTCAGGGTGTCGAAATCAAGGTTTCGGGTTTAGGTTTTCGAAATCAAGGTTTGGGGTTTAGGGTTTCGAAATCAAGGTTTGGGGCCTGGGGTTTAGGATGGTTCAGGGTTTTGAAATCAAGGTTTAGAGCTTAGGGTTTAGGATGGCTTTGGGTTTCGAAATCCATGCTTTCTGAGGGTTTTTTCTGTGCTTTACAGGGCCTGCTGGGGCTCTCTGAGTCTGAGGGCGTGAAAGAGCATCATGTGGTTAATGGGGTTTGGAGTTTAGGGTTTAGGCTTTAGGGTTTAGGTTGGGGCCGGGGCTTGCATCGCCGTGAGGGTCTTACTTATCCAGCTTTTGGCATCTAGGACTTCAAGAATGGGAGCTTCCGAAAATGGGGGGACCCTAATCAAGTACCCCAAATAGTAGGACCCTTGTTAGAAGGACCCCAAAATACGGTAATTCTTGGAAACTCCCAAATTGCCGACAAGCCCGAAAACTGACTTGATGAGTCTGCCTGTCACCTCTCCAGAACTCCAAGGAAGCCACCCGCAGGCTCCTACAAAGACTCCAACCCCCTCCCGAGGAAAAATTGGGGAAAAGCCCTGAACTTAGGGGATTGAGGTTCAAGTTCACAGGCAGTTCCATGAAAAACCGCGGCTGCAGAGGTGGGCGGGACGGCAAATTTCAAGCTTCAAATTGCACCTGTGGTTGTCCTGTGGTGTCGGCTTCTGACGACTATGGCAGCTTACGGTGAGCAGCGGCAGCCCTGGCAATAGTGGCGAATGCAATGCAAGCACTAGCAGCTAGCAGCAGCCGCCACAGCATCGGCAGGAGTAGAAATAGAGTTTATGCGAAGGAAAAATGTCAGATAGGAGCAGCAATGCAGCAGCAGCAGCAGTAGCAGCAGCAGCAATGCATCAGAAATGCAGCAGTAGGAACGTATAAGAGCCTCCACGGTGATGCTAGGAGCAGCAGCAGCAGCAGCAGCAGCCGCTGTAGCACTCATCGTAGTAGCACGCTGCCTTTGACGTGTGCATAATACAGGAAATTTTTTGTTTCTAGGAGCCCCAAAAAGACCATAGGTACTTATTCAGGCCCTCACACAAAACAGTTCCAAGCCCGCGGCAAGCCGGAGGGGACTACCATTGGCTTCTCCAGGACTTTGCATTTGATGGTCTCCTCCGGGCTAGTGGTAGTAGTAGTAGTCGTCGTCGTCGTCGTAAGCTGCCAGCCCCAGCTTCTACATCCGACCCCCTGAGACCCACGGCAGAACTCCAACTTCGTCAACCCTGCAATCCTGAACCCCCAGAATTCAGTTCAACCGAAACCTTGAACCCTCCCGAACCCCAGACCCTTCACCCAAAACCCTGCACCGGGGGTGTCCTACAAGGGTTCCTACCCGGGCTTGCCTACCCGGGCTTGTGCTTAAGGCATCGGGTAAGTTTTGCCATCATGCTTTATGGGCTTCCTCCGGCAGGGTTCACTGCTTGGGTTCAAGTTGTGTTACAGGTACTCGGTCGGGGCTTAGAGTTCTGAGTTCAGGAGTCTTACCTCTGGTTAGTAGGGAAGGGAGGATTCTTCCATTCCCTACTAGCCAAAGGTAAGGAGTTTGGGGTTCTTTGCCTAAATCTCGCGGCCAAACCATGCGGGTTCAAGGGCCAAAGGGTTCAGGGTTTTCGGGTAGGCACTCCCAAGTGGCTGGGGCTCGGAATTGAGAGCTGCTAGGCTTCAGGGCTTTCTGGCTCAGGGTGTTTATGTAGCCGGTGTGGGGTTCGGGGGTGCAGGGTTTGGGTGTTAAGTTAAGGCTGTTGGCGCTAAGTGAGTGCCACTTTGGAGTTTCAGGGTCTACTTAAAGGATCATGGGACTTAGTAAGTAAGGTTATAAGTAGGTCATAATTAGGATAACCCCACTTCGGGAACTTATAACCCCAATTATAACCTACTTACTAAGTCCCATGATCCTCCAAGTAGTGTTGAGGCTTACGAGTCCCAGCTCCCGGGGGCATTCGCCACCAGGGCATCTGCTGCAGCATTGAGTGGTTGGTTTAGGGTTTAGGGTTTAGGGTTCAGCAGCTCCGGGTCGAGCAGTTTGATAGTAGAGTTGTATTTACGGTCTTGATATAACACCCACCCACCCATAGAATCCCATAACATTAAGCAATATAAAGTTTTTTTCATCATCATTCAGAGAGTTCTACCTACAACTTAGCTTGTCAAACTAGGCCCTAAACCTTAAAGCCCAAAGCCTACGCCCTAAACCCTAAAGCCCAAACCCTAGGCCCTAAACCCTAAAGCCCAAACCCTAGAGCCGAAACCCTAGGCCCTAAACCCGAAAGCCCAAACCGTAGGCTCTAAACCCTAGAGCCCAAACCCGAGAGCCCAAACCTTAGAGCCCAAACACTAGGCCCTAAACCCTAAAGCCAGACCCTAGGCCCTAAACCCTAAAACCCAAACCCTGCCCTAAACCCTAAAGCCCAAACCCTAGGCCCTAAACCCTAGAGCCCAGACCCTAGAGCCCAAACCCTAGGCCTTTTTGCTCGACCCGTTCGCGGTTTTTGTCAGTAAACTGACAAAAACCGCGAACGGATGCCGGTAACCAGATTGACAAAAAAAAGGCCACGAAAAAGTCGAGCAACCGAGTAGGTTGCCCAATCCGTTCGCGGATATTTGCCTTTTTTTTGACTTTTCGGGTCATTTGCTCAATGCATTTCGCGGTTTTTGTCAGTAAACTGGCAAAAACCGCGAAAGGCATTAAAGTTTATATACATAAGATTATAGGGTTTAGGGTTTAGGGTTGGTATCTTCGGTTACAACGTTCAGGGGTGCTTTTGGAATCGGACATTGGCCACGCCACACACTGCCACAAAGTCCAAGCGATCATCCCCAAAAAGGGATCCCGAAACGCCAAAGCCTGTAACCCCTGCTCTCCACCTCCCTCATTCGCTCAAGAACATCCAGCACCCTTGTGAGCCCGTACCACATTCGAGCCGCTGAAGAGCTCGTAGAGCGCCCTGTAGCACCCCTCTAGAATCCTGAACCCTAAACTTGGGGTGTAGGGTTGAGGTAAGCCCGACAGGAACCGAAGCCTAAACCCGGAACCCTCAACCCTAAACCTGGCTTTAGGGTCGAGGGAAGCCCGATAAGATCCGAATCAGTCCTATAACCCTAAACCCTCTTAAACCCCGGAACTCAGGATTCCGCCTGCATCCAGTAGCCGACCCCCATGGCCGGATCTGCCTTCATCTAAGTACGCTAAAGTACGGTTTGCTGCTTATGTCTTTATCTTGAAGCACCTGTTTCCGAACCGCAGCTTCTTACGTCCGTTTTAGGGCTTCGGGGTTTGCATTGAGAGTTTAGGGTTGAGGTATGATGGCTTAGGGTTCTAGGCTTAGGGCTTCGGATGTAGGTTAGGGTCTATGCTTAAGGGCTCCTTCACGGCTTATGTTGAAGGCTTCCTTTAACGAGCATAACCATCACCGTCACTGCTCGAACCACTATCCGGCAATGCTACTGGTGTCACCAACATTGCCATGATCACGATGAGCACCATCATGTTGGTTCGGCACGGCAGCGGAGACGACGACGGCGACCATCCGTCTAAGCCCATGTTGCTATGTGACGCCCAGAGTCGTGGGGAACCGCCGTTTGCACGATTTCGATGCGATTTTGATATGATTTGGGGGACCTTCCGGTTACGATTTTCTTATGGTTTCCTTATGGCTTACGATTTGGTTATGGTTTTCTTATGGTTTGGCATATGTGGATACGATTTGGATACGGTCTGGGTACGATTTGGATACGATTTCGATACGATTTTGACAAATTACATCTGGAGCCTCCTCCAGGACTGGTTTTGACATGTGTTTGCTATGTTTTGAATATGGTTCTCGGGCTTTCAGCCGAGCTGCTTTCCGAGCCGTGCTTTCCCACGTAGCGAAAACCACAGCCTTATTCAAAACCGTAACAACATCACAACAAAACCACGTTCGAAACCACATCAACACCATAAGCGGAACTAAACCTGGAACCAGACACAATCGTGAAATTTTCATAAAAACAAACATAGTCTCATACCGCTACTTTGCCAGGACTGGTCGTCACAAACCTAGCTCACAAGCAAAGGTCTATGGAAAACTGTTCCGCAAGCAAATCCGGTCAACACTCCGAGGCCTCCCAACCCTAAACCCTAAACCCTCTTCCCAGCCTTGTAGCCGTACGTCACAGGTGGCCTCGTCGTGTCTGCAGCTTTTCGGACCACAGCCTAGCGATGGCCGTGGGGCCGTCGGGAGTGGCGCTTATGAGAAACCCAGAACTGCACACTGGATATAAGTGCGGCAAATGGGTATAAGTACAGCAAACAAATTTAAGATGTCGACATAACTATATATATATATATATACCAGGTTTATATGGACTCTGTAGTTGCATATGTATATAGCTCTTAACAAAAGACTTGGGAAAGGACCAACTCGACGGATTTTGCCCGACCCATGACCGTGCTTACAAACCCAGGCCCGCTGCCCTAAATCCTCAACCCTTAAGGTTTAGGGCTTAAGGATTTAAGGTTTAGGGTTAAGGATTTAGGGTTTAGGGTTTAGGATTAATCCTCAGTTCAAAGGGCAGAAGGAGGGATTCCTAATGGGGATCCCCACCCTATAACGGGACATATAATGAGTATATAATAACTATATTAAGGTGCTTTTCCCGGGGGTCCTCAAAACGGGTCCCTCCTTTTATCCTTGGACCAGTCGTCAATCTTTCGTTAGGGAAGCCTTACCTCCCACCTGCTTGAACCTACGGTTGATGATATAAATCCTGCATTACCTTAAGGACCCTACACTATGGGAATAATGGCATATTCCTTATTATGGGTAATGGAGGATTTATATCATCACAGAAGGACCGCAAGGGTGCCTTTATTTTGCGGGATAATTGGGGTTCCTTTCAGGGATCTATAAGGGGTTCTTTACGGGCTCCTTCACAGTAGTGCGTACTAAGTCCCCGGACTCCGCAAACAACCTCGGGCCCGAACCATGCGCGAGCGTATGGTTTAGGGTTTAGGGTTTAGGGTCTAGGGTCTAGGGTTTAGGGTTTAGGGTTTAGGGTTTAGGGTTTAGGGTTTAGGGTTTAGGGTTTAAGGTTCAGGGTTTAAGGTTTAGGGTTTAGGGTTTAGGGTTAGGGGGACCCTTGGGGATATAGATCCTCTCAATCAGGCCCCTTTTAAGAGAGCCAGAAGTAGGGTTCAGAAGGGGTACCCTTTAAGGGGTCTCCCTAATGATACTACCTAGCGTAGTACAAAGGTCTGATCAACGGATACGAGTACCTGGACCCTACGGGACCTACCTTTCTAGGGCTCCCTAATATGATTTCGTTATATAAGTCCGTAAAAAGGTAGGTTACCTGGGGTTGAGGTATTCGACAGCATTTCGCATGGAATCATGAAAGGACATAGCCCGAGCCCCCTCGAACCCTTCACGCTCTTATCACTGCAGGGGTAGCTTCTTGGGCGGCAGAGGTCGGGATCATCACACGTAGCCGCTACGCCAAGGCACGAGCCTGCACCTGTGGCCCTTATATAGCCACGGTTTAGGGTTTAGGGTTTAGGGTTGGATAGGGTGTTGGGGTATATTATTGGAGAACTTTAACAACGAGCCCTGAGGAAGGGCGTTGGGAAGAAATCAGGCCCCCCTATCACCTGCAGCCCCAAAAGCTTCCGGGCTGAGGTTGGCAATCTAAACTTGCAGACCTTCAGGATATTGGGCTTAGGGTTTAGGGTTTGGGGTCTAGGGTCTTAGGGTTTAGGGTTTAGGGTTTAGGGTTTAGGGTTTAGGGCTTAGGGTCCAGGATATTGTGAGGAAGACTTTCTGGTTCCCAAAACCCCAACCCCCGAACCCTAAACCCTTGTCTGCAAGGGATACGGTTGGGTGGCGGTTTAAGGCTACTCTTGTACAAACAAAAACCTCCTACGAGTCTCACATAATGGCCTTAACCACTAGAGTGAGGCTTTGGGCCTTTTTTATGGTTAAGGTACAGGCTCTGCTAAGGCGATGTCATGTAACCCTAAACCCAGGCAAACGTTGCGCAGGACCCGATCCTCCTATTAGGGATATTCCTTGATACAAGGGATTTTGGAAGGTCAGCGTGCCTGCATGTAGTCTGCCAGCTTGGTGGCATCTTCCGGTTCCGCCACCGCCATGTCACCTGAAAAACGAATTAGCTCGAATGCTAAAGCATAAACCCTAAACCCTAAACAGTTTTCGACCCTGACCTAAATCACGTTGAGGATTGAGGGAAGCATACAAGATTCTACTATGGACGGATATAACATGATATAACAGAACTATCTATGCCCCGTAAACGCTCCTACACGGCTGTTACCTGGGTTGAGGGGTTTAGGCGAAACAAGGTTTGGTCCGGGTTCGGGAATCCGGGGTTAGGGCTGTTCAGCATGTTCTTCGCCGGCACAGGGTTTAGGATATGGTCAAAGAACCCTGCGCTACCTGTCCAATACCTAGAGGGAAATAAAGGTTAACCTTTAGGAGAATATTGGGTTCTCCCCCGAAAAAGGGCTAAAGGTTACCTACTCTACGACGAGGTCCCAAACCCTAAGCCCCTAAAGCCTAAACCCTAACGAACCCCCTAAACCCCCTCAAAAACCCCGCCCCATACCCCAGAGCCCCCAAACCCCCCTAATACAAAAACCCACCCAAAAAAGGTTATAAAGATCACCTACTCCACTGCCAAGCTACAGTGCGCCCCGCCTCGAGGAAGCTTTCTCAGGCCGATGAATCAAAACTACGCCGCTTCGGAGCCGTGCCGGTGATAGCAGACACGAGGCTGTAAGGGGGTTAGGGCTGGGCTTTAGGGTTTAGGATTCTAGGGTTTAGGGCTGAGGGGGTTTAGGGCTTAGGGTTTAGGGTTTACGGTTTAGGGTTTAAGGGTCTACGGTTTAGGGCTTAGAGTTTAGGGTTTGGGGTTTGTAAGGGTTTTTAAGGGTTCTCTGAAAGAGGTAAGGGTTGATAGTTCAGGGTCCTACAAAGGCATGTAGAAGAGCTCTACAAGGGGTGGGGGGGAAAGAAGGGGTCTTTCTGCGATGCGTGATGAGAAGTTCGCGCTTGGGGGCTAGCAGCCGAAGGGTTGACGGTTTGGGTTCACAGAGGTCTTAGGTTTTGGTGTATTCCAGGGTTTGGGTTTAGGGTTTAGGGTTGAGGGGTTGAGGGGTTGAGGGGTTTAGGGTTTTGGGGTTTGGGGTTTAAGGGTTTAGGGGCTCAGGGAAGTCTAGGGTTTAGGGGTTTAGGGGTTTGGGCAGAAGCTTCGTTCGCCTGATTGAAGGTTCATGGGCAGTTGCAAACAGGCTGATGAAGTCTGGCGGCCTTCATCTTTGGATTGGCATTTGGGGGCGGGAGCCCATTAAACATTAGTACAACTAGGAACCCTGAGGGACAACGTTCATGATGATGCGGGCTTCTATGTTCCGTGAACTGCGGTCGCATGTGGTGGTTTTAATTGTGGTTTCCTTAGTTACTCGAAACCGGGCATACTTAAAGGCTCATGGGACTTAGTAAGTAAGGTTATAAGTAGGTTATAATTAGGATAACCCCACTTAGGGGACTTATAACCCCAATTATAACCTACTTACTACGTCCCATGATCCTCTAAGTACAGAGTCCCTTGATCCTTAAAGTAGGTTTTCGGGGTGCGCGGATTCAGTTCTGTCGGGCCTGGGTGTGCAGCTGTTTCGGGTCTACCTAAACCCTGAAGCCCCTAAACCCTAAACCCTGAACCCTAAACCCAACCCTGAACCCTAAACCCTAAACCCTAAACCCTAGACCCTGAACCCTGAACCCAAAACCCTAAACCCTAAACCCTGCACCCTAAACCCGCATTGGGGTACGAAAGTGCTAGCCCATGCTCTGCGGCTTCTCTTAGGGTTCAGGCTGTCAGGCTCAGGAATTTTGGACTCAACTTTCCCAGGTTCGGTACCTTTTGGGGGGTCTTTACAATAAGGTCCTACTATTTAGGGTACTATATTAGGGTCCCCTATTTTCGGAAACCCCCAACTTTCAAGGTTCAGCATTCAAGGCTTTTCGCGGCATGCCGGTCCAGGGTTAAGCATGCTACACAGTTAAGTTGGGGGTTGAGGTTTCAGAGCATCTGCGCTGGGGTTTTTGTGGTTCGGGCTTCAACGTGCTTGCGATTTGGGACACCCGGCCCCAAACCCTAAACCGAATCAGATCCCAAAGGTTCAAAAGGCCTAAGCCCCAAATCAAAAATATCACCGTAACAACACTACACTCTAAGCCCCGAACCCCGTGAACCCTAGTCCACTATATCGACTATATCCATTTACGGGTTGCAGTTCCTCCCATGCGGATGGTTGCTTTCTCTCGGCATGCGGGAAGATTGGAACGAGGTCTGGGCCCAATGACGTTGGACCTGATCCCTGCCAATCCTCAGTAGGTTGAATTCGCACCCAGCGCAGATCATATGAGCGGTCAGAAATGCAGACATGCGTTACAGTCGTAGCACTGCAAGAGACACAGATACAACCAGCATCATAGTGACACGAATCCAACATTAAAACAAAAACTGTTGCTAACATACCTGCGACCATGCAGTACGGTCCAATCGACAAGCAGAAGCAGTGAGTGAGGACGGTTATCTCTGTAGACATAGGCCACATGTCCTAGATAGCACAGTACGGAGAGAAGTGTCCAGCAGCGGTACTACTGTCATGGTAAACATGTCTCGTCATTCGTCTTTGGAATCATTATGCTCATCATGCCCAGAGACTCCAATACCCCTTAATTAAGGAATATACCTTAAATTATAGTAGGGTCCCTAATATGATTTAAGGTATACTCCTTAATTAAGGGGCATTGGAGTCTCTGGGTGCTCATTACCATCATCGTCATCAGAAACACCATCATCAGAATCATCATCATTGTGACATTGGACACCAACATCCACGTCAGCATCATCGTTCGGCAGCCACATATTCAATTACCTGCACCAACACTTGAATGGTTCAGACTCATATCCTGGTCCCTATATAAACCTGAAACTTTAGATGCCCCACCTCATCCTCATCTTGCAACATTACGGACCACACTTTGAATGATTCCCACAAAGGCACTTGAATAGCCTCTCGTGCGCGGCAACTCTTTCAGGTGGCAGCGGCTGATATCTGAGTGCCGGCCTTCCTTGCATGAAGGATCGGATTGCCTTGGATAGGGGTCTTCGGATTTCATGGGGCTTCTGTGGAGTTTATAGACGTGGGGTTTAGAGGTTCAAGATCCTCGCGTTTGGGGGGGGGGGGGGGCTCACGGCTTAATAAGGCTTTACTGTGCTGAGTGCAGGGTCTGCAGAACCAACCGTGAAGGAGCCCAAGGAACCCTTCCCTGCTCTCCACACCCCTAAACCCCAACAACACCTTCAACTCTGACGAGACCCTAACCCAGGGTTTGGGGTCTAAAGTTTGGGTCCGGGAAACCGTAACTAAGCCACAACATACCCTAAGTAAAACCTGATTAAACCGGAAACCCAAACTAAACCCTATAGGGTTCGCGTGTAAGGAACCGTAATATACCCCAGCTAAACCCTGAGCGCCCCTGGCCACTGAACTCCGGGGGGCCGCCATAGTGCCCGGCATGGTGTATGCAGCTCGCGCCCGCGCCTCGGAGGAGGCTCGGGGTTTTGGTTTAAGGTTGAGGGTTTACGTACAATTTAGGGTTCAGGGGTTTAGGGTATGCATACAGTCTGCATACAGTGTGGGTGCACTTCTTTGGGAATGGGGGTGCACCCACTTAGTGTGCACTTGCATCAGCATGAAGCCCCGCCCCAACCAATCGGAGTGTAAAGTGCGCCCCCCAACCCGCCCTCAAAGAAGGCTTCCCTTCGCTGTTCGACGCACAAACGACCACATTTCAGAGCAAATCACAGCTGGGATGGATTGATGTCGGGTTGTTGCCTGTGCCGGCACATCGATGCAAGGGTCTCCAACAAACAACCCGCCCCTGGCACCTTGTGACGGTCACTCGAAGTGTAAAGGAGCTGCTCCAAATTGTGAAAGGGCGGAGGGGTCCTATATTTTTATCCTTTCGATGAGACGATCCAAGTTGTGAAGGGATAGCGAGGTCCTATCCTTGTCCTTTTAAGGAGTCTTTTACCCTCGTCCTTTGAAGGGACCGCTCCAATTGACGAGAGGGCAAGCCCAGAATGACTGGTACCCCGTTGGCCACCCGCCCAAGGTAAATGAAATTTTTGAAAGGCTCGCTGTCCTAAACCCTAAACCCCTGAACCCCTAAACCCCTAAACCCTAAAACCCTAACCCCTAAAGCCCCTAATGCGTGTTGGCTCGTCACTGGAATCTGGCCCGGCCCGAGACTCCCCAGGCATACCACTCTTAGGGTTTTAGGTTTTAGGGTTTTAGGATTTAGGGTTTTAAGTTTTAGGGTTTTAGGATTTAGGGTTTTAGGATTTAGGGTTTTAGGATTTAGGGCTTAGGGTGTAGGGCCTCACACCCTGAGGCCAGACCCAAAGAAAACAAAACACGCACATTCTCAAACGGGCTGACGCCCGTACCGTATGAGGCGCAGAGTGATTTGTTGGGTTTGGCAAACACTGTATAGAAGCCTTTGCAGATGCCCTTATGACAGCCTTCCTGGAGTGCTGAGATAGATCGGGGATCATGGGACTTAGTAAGCATGGTTTTAAGTACCTTAAGTGGGGTTATAAGTAAGTATGTAGGTATAGTTACCTTAACCAAAACCCTAGTTACTAGGTCCCATGGTGCCTACGAGGACCTCGACGTGTTGTACCCTAGAACATTCACACGACAGAAACCTGAAACCCTTACTTTCACAAGAAACCGTACAAAAACCTGAAATCCCAAAACTGAGACGCCTCTTGGAACCGATCAAACCCAGCAAAGGAGCCCTTACGAGGAACCCTGGCCCTATACCCGACATGGGAGTTTCCGAAAATAGGGCAAACTAATATTAGTACCTCAAATACTAGGGTCCTTAGTATAAGACCCAAAATAAGGTACCCGAATTTCTGGAAACTCCCGAATTAATACCTCAAATACTAGGGTCCTTAGTATAAGACCCAAAAATAAGCTACCCCGAATTTTCGAAAACTCCCAAGTAGAGGCCCTACAAAATTATGGTCCCTTTTTGGGTCCTTAGTATAGTACGGCACCTATTATAGAGGGTACCCAAAAAGGGACCCCAATTTTGACAAGTACCCAAATTGGTACTAGACCAAGGCGCCATCTTCCGCTTCATCCTCGAATACTTGCGGCTTGTAACGTTACGCAGCCTGAGGCGGAGAAGTGCGACGACCCATAAAGGACACTGGGTTAAGGCTTTGGGGCTTTGGGGTTGAGGGCTTAGGGTTTAGGAGGCTTTGGGGTTTAGGAGTTTAGGATTTTGGGCTCGAGGGTTCCGCCGTCGGCTGCTTATAATTTCCAGCAGGTCTGCAAGGCACATCAAAGGTGAGGCATTTCCCTTCCGAAAATGATATAGGGCCCTTGGTATTTGCTATAATTACAATACGGAACAACCAAAATAGTACTGATAATTATTTAAGCCCCTACATTACCTGCTTTTGGCTCAGGGTTTTAGGGTTTATGGTTTCGGGCTTAGGGTCTTGAATCCGCGTGGCAGGAGTGGAAGCTTCCACAGCTGGGTCACCCGCAGGCTGAACCCAAAGGAAGTCAAGTTGTTGACGCCGGTGAGCGCCGCCCACTCCACATCATCCCAGACGTACACCTAGGTTCGTGCTAGGAAGCTTGATATCAGCTACCGAAAGACGGACAGCATACCTATACTATATCCTTGTTGTATCCCGTTAGTTCAACTACCTACAGCCCTGCAGAATCACATGCAACCCTACGATTTGGGACTTTCCGAAAATAGGGGACCCTAATATAGTACCCTAAATAGTAGGCGTCTTATTATAAGGACCCCAGAATAAGGTACCCCTATTTTCGGAAACTCCCGTTTTGAACCTAACCAAATTTGAACCCCAGGACCAACCCTAGCCCCTAACCCTGCAAGTGGAAGCCCAAACCCAAAAACGTCCACCGCAACTATGAATCTAGGAAACCCTCCCAAAACTTGAAAAAACACCTCACTCCCCGAAACAAACCCTAAACCCTAAACCTCAAACCTTAGACCCTAAACCGTAAACCCCCAAACCCGAAAGCTTCAACCCTAAACCAAATCGAAGCCCAGGAGACGGGAAGGCAGCCCCCCACTTGCACCACCTCGGCAAGCATGAAGGCGCTCCGACCAAACCTTCCCAGAGCGGTGAGGAGCGTGGGAACTAAGGGTTCCTTGAAAGGGATCTATAAGGGTTCCTTATAATGGGATCTGGTTCCTTATAATGGGATCTATAGGGGTTTAGGGTTCAGGGTTTACTTAGAGGATCATGGGACTTAGCACGTAGGGGTTATAAGTCCCCTAAGCGGGGTTATCCTAATTCTAACCTACTTATAACCTTACTTACTAAGTCCCATGAGCCTTTACGAGAGCGGTGAGGGCTTTTGCTTTTGGTTCCCTTTGGGCCTCCTTTAAAGGGATCTATAGAGGTTCTTTTAAAAGGGTGTTCCCTGGAGGGGGTTACAGGGTCCCTTTAAAGAGGTTTAGGGTCTAGGGTTCTATAGGGTTCAGGGTTCTATAGGGTTCAGGGTTTAAGGCCTCGAGGGCCCCTTTTTGCCATAGGTTTCCTTTCAGGGGGCTCCTTTAAGGGCTCAAGGAATTCCTCCCAGAACTCCTTTTTGTTCTAGGCTTCCTTTGTAGCGAACTACAAGGCTCCGTCAGGGGATCCTACAAGGGCTCTGTAAAGGGTTTAGGGTTTAGGGCTTAGGGCTTAGGGTTCAAGATGCCGTTACTTCTTGCTCTACGGTTCCTTCAGGGGATCTACAGGCTTCTATAGGATTCTCTAAATAGTCTTTCAAGGGATCTATGAGTGTTGTGTAACTGCGTTCCTTTACGCGCTCCTTCAAAGGAATCTTTAAAGGTTCCGCTAAAGGCTCCTGAAAGTGTAAAGGGTTCCTCGAGGGGCTGTCTACCCTACACCCTGAATCCCAAACCCTACACCCTGAACCCCAAACCCCACACCCTGAACCCCAAGCCCTACACCCTGAACCCCAAGCCCTACACCCTGAACCCCAAGCCCTACACCCTGAACCCCAAGCCCTACACCCTGAACCCCAAGCCCTACACCCTGAACCCCAAGCCTACACAGCCCCAAAGCCCTTAAATCAAAGGAGCCCCAAAGGAGCCCTGAAAGGGAGCCTTAAAAGTGCCCTTACCCTAAACCTCAAGTTATTTAAACACTAGACCCACAACCCTAAACCGAAATCCCAAACCCTAAACCCCTCAAGCAGAAGATGAGAGTTCGGGGCTCAGATTTTCGACCGAACCTCGCAGTCACGACGCAGAATTTCGACTCTGCGGCCATCCTGGGTTCTGGCTTTGGGATGCCGTTTCGGGTCCCTTTCGGCGTTCCTCTAATCGCTCCGTAGCGGTCTAGGGACTTAGGGTTCGGGGTTTAGGGTTCAAAGCTTTAGGGTTTGGTTTGGGGCTTTTGGGTCTTTGGACATCGCGACACAGGCTGTTGTGAAGATCGGTTACTTCGTGTTGAAAGAAACTCCAACTACAAGGGTCTGTAGTAAGTCATATGATTTACTTTTTGTCGCTGTTGTCACATCATATACTATACCTTGAAGTTGTTTTAACGACCCTGAAGTTGATTTAACGACGCTTAACTCAAAGTTTGCTAAAACGCGCCCAGCATCCTCTCAAACCCGGCCGGACCCCCTGGAGCCAGGCCCGTGAAGACCAAGTTCTCCCACGGCCATGCCGGATTCGTAGCTGCCAGTGCCTATACCCCCCTTTTAGAACCATAATAAAAATAATGCTTTCAATATTCTCTTGGGTTTTATATGAACACAAACAAACATGATTCCTAAGGAGACCATAGGTGCAGACCGGAAAGCATCCGTCCGCAGAGCGTCTAGCACGACCGAGCGTGCGAAGCCGCTGCGGCCCAGACACGTCACGTAGTAGCGGGGCGGCAGCAGGAGCGTCGGGCGGCTCGCTTTTCTCACCAGAGGGATGGGTATGTGTCCATGAGAGGACCCGAAAACCAGCAGGTTCCTCGGTTGTGCTTTATAAACCCTTTGAAAATTATCTATGAATAGGTTCCCTTTATAAGGAAATACAGGAAATTTTTCATAAGAAATAAGGGAAAATAGAAACTATCCCAAAGCACACCCCAGGTTCGGCATCGAATCGACCTTGCCTCCCTGTGGTGGGTTCGGCCCCCGGTCTAGGACCGACAGAGTTACGAAGCTGCACTCAGGGTTGTACAGCATCGTGAGGCCGACGGTGCCCCAGGCGCGATTGTAAGGATCAGAGTTCGTGATATCCCTATGGAGAAGGGCGTACCAGTTCACAAATATAGGCACCCGACAGCCAAAGACTTGATGGATCTTTTGCCGGTACGGGCCGAAATGCCTTATCCAAGCATGCTCCAACTCATCCGAGATGTCTTGCGTGCGCCACTGGTGGCCGCGAAAATCCATCGTGTCGTTCCAGAGCTCCTCTGACCTAGGCTTCATCTCGAGGCGTTATCAAAACCGTATGCTTATGCTCTGAGAAAGCTCTTATGATGATGATGATGCTGCTTCATAGGGTTCACTTCGACATTTAATCCAAAAGTGCTAACGGTCTTTACAAAGCATTCTTTCCACAGAACGCAGAACCTGGACACTACAACCCTCAACCCTGTTCCTTACACCCTTGTCCTTTTAGCAATAATAGACAGAGCCCTATACCTATATCCCTTAGTAGGAACTATTTAAGAAGGTCTACCAGCCGGTCTGTTTATTCTATTGGGGGAACCATGAAAAAGGACAAGGCTGCTTCCTTAAGATGTCCCAGGGACACTCTGATGCATCGAGAAAAACAAGATGCTGCTCGGAATGGGTTGGCCAAGCCTTCTTGGAGGATCATGGGACTTAGTAAGTACGGTTATAAGTACCCTGAGTGGGGATATGTATAAGTACAGTTACCTTGGTTATAACCCTACTTACTAAGTCCCATGATCCTTTAAGTTCTTTCGATGCTTCGGGGATTTCCGAGGGTGGCTTCGGAGTTTCCCGGCTTAGGGCCCAGGGAGAGCCAGACACCAGATGATCAACGTCATTAATGGTTTTATGATAGGTTGCTCAGGAGTTGAGATTTAGGATTTGTTTTGCGGGCGAGTTCCCAGTAGCAACTCCTAAATCTGGCTTTCGGGCGAGGGCTCGGAGCACACAGAACAATTCCAAGCAAAGCGAAAGCAATCAGTGAACAAAGATGCGCAAAAAAAAAGAGAGTCTGCGGACTGTAGAACAACTTGGTCAGCAGGTTAAAGGCTGGCAAGATCACACCGTGAAGCATGATTGCAGAGCCGTCAGCGAGCCTAAGTTGGCCTGAATTGTGAGGATAAGGACGATGATGATGAGTCGTGCCGATGAGCAAGCCGTTGAAGACAGTGTAGCGACGGTGATATTCAGCATGGTAGCATGTAGTAAGCAGTATCATCAACAACAACATCTGACACTCACTATCATTGTCGTCACCATCATCATTAGATGATGTTGATGATGACTATGAGCATAGCTATGACTATGACTATGAACAGAATCCTCAAGAAGTGAACACGATGAGCAATGTGGTTGTGAGGATGAGAAAGACAAAGTAGATAAAGACGATTCTGGCGATGACGACGCCTCGCCCGTGCCTCCCGGACAGTAGATGTCACAAAGACAGGCATTGCACCAAGACCTACATATAGGTATGCATGTATGTATGCATGCATTAGGTATGTATGTACCGTACCTTTATATGCATGTCTAGGAATATGCATGTAGGCGCGCTTGTGCGAATAAAGGAACGCAAGGTATTGTCGGATTTGTGTGTGTACATCTGTATTTACAGATGTACATATGTATGTATGTGTATATATATGTAATATATATATATATATATATAGAGAGAGAGAGAGAAGGAGAGAGAGAGAGAGAGAGAGAGAGAGAGAGATAAAGTTGGTCATGCCAGGCTTACAAAGATTGTCAGGAAATGTTCATGCTCACGTTCATAAGCACAAAAATACACACACATGCATACACGTACACTCATGCCGACAAACCGACACAAACTGACAGAAGTGTTTTAACAAAATGTGGCGCTAAATCAAACGATGTAGACTAGTGTAGTCTTCTTGTCGTGATGTATCAACCTGACCAGACACAAGGCGCTTGTCAAATGGGCATGGAGTCGACTGTGTGAAACCCCAGTGACACAAGTCAAGATGGCAATCGGACTGAGTCAATTCTGCAGCTAAATGCGGAGCAAGCAGATGAAAACATGCAGTCCACCCATGCTCCCCTCAGATCCCCTAAGCCCCTAAATCACAACGAACCCCCCAACAGAATCCCAGCAACTCCTGCAAACCCCCGAGACTCATAAACCCCCGTATGAAAACCCTATACCCTGAACCCTAACACCCTGAACACGAAATCCCGAACCCTGAAGCCCAAACCCCCCAAAAAACACAGGAAGCCGTGTTGAACCTTGCAAGGGACTCTACACGTAGAGACGGTGTTCGTACTTGGAGGATCATGGGGCTTAGTAGGCATGGTTATAAGTACCCTAAGTGAGGTTATATGTAATTTATAAGTATAGGAGCCTTAAATATAACCCTAGTTACTAAGTCCCATGATCCTTTAAGTAAGCCCTAAACCCTAAACCCTATAGATCCCTTTAAGGAACCCCTCTAGATCCCTTTTAAGGAGCCGTCTCAGGAACCCTAGTTACTAAGTCCCATGATCCTTTAAGGAGTGTCGGGCCTTCGCGCCGGACTTTGGAAAGGAACATTGGCAAGCTCGACCTCGCTTTCAAAGGGCGTAGGATTTAGGGTCTTGGGTTCTGGGAGTTTAGGGCAAACGGGGTCGATGGGCCCCATATGGGTCCTATAAGCCTATAAGTCTATAAGGTTTCAGAACTGATTAAGGGTTTAAGGTCTAAGGTTTAAGTTTTACGGGTTTAGGTCTTGGTTCGGTTAGGACTTTGGGTTTTGATCGGCTTCCTGTCGGGTTAAACTTCTGCTACGGCGTCACAGGAGAAGGCACAGTGCAGAACAATCCCGAAACCCGGGACTTCAAAGCGGAACCTGCATGATTCACGATATGGTAATGTAGGAACCTGATTAAGAAACCCTGGGCTTATAACCCCAAAGTAGTAGGATTCATATAAGGAACCCTAATAAAGGCCCAAGGTTTCTTAATCAGGTTCCTACATTATTATAGTACCCCTATAGATCCCTTATAGTACCCTTATAGATCCCTTATAGTCACCGTTATATATGGTATCTACTACGAGTACCAGGCCCCTTGAAGAAATCTCAACACCTTAGCGCGCCAATACCGAGAAGCAGCTTACATACGGGTTTAGGGTTTAGGGTTTAGGGTTACCGAAACAGTACTACAAGCCCTGCATCAAGTGACTTGGACGCGTAGTCCGGTTGTCGGGCTCGCAGCGACATGTCCAGGCCAGGACACTTCAGCTGTAGGGCTTCCTCTAAACCCTAAACCCTAAACCCTAAACCCCTAAACCCCTAAACCCTAAACCCTAAACCCTAAACCCTAAACCCTAATTCAGGGTGCAAAATCTAGGGCTTAAAAGTCCGGGCTGAGGGTTTTGGGATCAACGTTCAAAGTGTGGTGCTCAGGGTTTATGTCATAAACAACTCTTTTGACTTCGGAGGCTCCGAAGATTAGATTTCAATGATGAGGGACTGAAGGTCCAGGGTTTGGGGCTGGCGGTTGGAGGTTTGAAGTTTGGAGTTTAGGGGGTCGTCTACGGCGTGCAGCACGGAAGCGAATATCCCACCTCAAGGCCGCCCAGTCTTAGGGTTTAGGGTTTAGGGCTTAAGGGGTTTAGGGGTTTCTGTGCTAAGCGGTACGTCTGCCCGAAGTGCAAAAAAGTACTGCAAAGTTGGAGCACGATGCGCCCAACTGGTCGAATGCAGCTTGGTAGTTGCATCTGGCCACAAAACGCGGAATGCATAAAGACCACTAGCGACAAATATCCGAAAATAGATGTTCTTCAAGGGAACCTGATTTTCGGGCCACCGGCCTGTTGAGGACTTTCAACATTCAGGGATACCGAGCTTTCAAAAGTAATGCTTCTGCCGTTCTAGGAAGTCGTTTTCTGACTTTTGTTGCGTTTGAGTACTGCTTTTATTTCGGCTTCGGGCGTTGGCATTTCTAGGAGTTTAGGATTTTGGCAAGTTTACGGGTTATAGGATGATACGGTTTCAAGATTTTGGAAGTGAAGACACACTTAAACAGTTTAAGTGTTTCGGTTGCTGGAGGAACCCGCAAACGCGAAACATGCCCATTTCATTGTCGGCTCTCCTTTTGGGAAACAGCATCTTTCCGGCCCCCTTTCATTTAAAGCTCTGTGGGGCTGTGGGATGTTAGGATATTCGACGCTTTAGCATTCGAGCATTTTGGGACTTGTTCAATTATTGGGACTTTTGAGCTCGAGCATCTTAGGATATTGGGGTTTCGGATTTTGTAACTTCTGGTGCTGTAGACAGTTTTGGACTTTTGAAGGATTTTAGCATACATGCGCTTTTGCGTTGATTTCCGGGCTCTTCAAACATATACAAGCCTTTTCAGTCAATGAACCCCTTCATGCTGCAAAACGCGGCACGGCACTCGAAACTAACTTTTCATTTTCTCGCGCGGACCCTAAACCCTAAACCCTAAACTCTAAACCCTAAACTCTAAACCCTAAACCCTAAACCCTAAACCCTAACCACCTCGTTCAGCCAGACTGTCGATGCGCTGATCTCAATGGCCCTCGAGGCCCGCTTCGGCTGGCTCGAGTTTAGAGTTTGAGGAGTTTGGGGGTTTTGGGGTTTTGGGGCTTAAGGTTTATAGTTTAGGGGTTTAGGGTTTAGGGTTTAGGGGTTTAGGGTTTCGGGTTTTGGGGCTTTGAGGTTTTGGAGTTTGGGGTTTAGAGCTTTGCGTTTTTGGCTCTTAACATTCGATCCTCGTGATCTTCGATGTACTTGCGCACCACAGGGTGCCAGGGCAGCTGCGCAACGTAGAGGGACATTTCCGCATGATTCCACCTCTCCATGTCCAGACCTTCCAGAGACTTCTAAAACCCCTTAAGCAAAGATAGACCTTAACTGATGAAGGGGTGCTTGCGTATGCTTTTAAGGTACATACCTTTGAAATACAGGACGGATCCTTAGATATTGTTTAAGGTCTAGTCAGTCTATTCCTTATTTAACTGAGTTGTCCTTTAAGCCCTTTGAAAATTGTTTACTATTATGGTTCTCTCCAAAATATTAGAGGAAATCAAAAAAGATCCCAAAGGACAACCCAGTTAACGGTTTTCGGAGTCATGGGCCTCCCACTCTTTCCAACAAGCCGCGGATGTCGACTGAGGGGCACGGCCGCTGCATGTGCATGCACCTCCTCTCCGTTATCTGCTCCCAGAACATTCCTGGGATTCGATTGCAACACCCCCAAAATCATGAATGGCGAGTTGCCCCAAATCGGTGCCTAGATTCTGACCATCCCCTGCCACGACACCAGTGGCCCGGATCCACCCAAGAGCTTGTTGTTGGCGAACCTGAGCTCCCCGACATGCACATCCAGAAACAAAAGATTCCTGCTTCCGTATCGCTCAATCTCAGAAAGGACCCCCCCCCTCCCTTTCGTTGAGCCACTATAAGACCTATATCACTGTCACTAGAAGCCCGAAGATACAAGAACAAGAGTGTGCTACTCTGGAGCTGGACGCCAAGCTTTGCCTCGACAACTGCAGGGTGCTCCAGTCGATTCCAGCGCCAGGAAAGAATAGCTCCTAAGCTCGCCAGTAACCCCAACTTTAGGGTTTAGGGCTTAGGGGAACCCTGCTCACAAAGGGCCAGCACTCTCAATCAAAGTCGGCAAACAACCAGAATCAGAGGACACCCTTTTGAAGATCCCTCGCAGAAAACCTCAAAGATACTTCCCTAAACACTAAATAACTTTTTCCCTAAACCCTAAACTCTAAATCCTAGCTCCTAAACCCCAATCCTAAACCCTAAACTCTAAATCCTAACTCCTAAACCCTAATCCTAAACCCCAAACTCCAACGCCTAAAATTTGCCCTTCACTGGCTGACCCAGTCTCTGCCACAGCTCTGACCAGGCTCTTCCAAGCGAGACCCCGAATCTTCCTGTCGAGGGCGTAGGCTTTACTTGGAGGATCATGGGACTTAGTAAGTAAGGTTATAAGTACCTTAAGTGGGGTTACAAGCAATTATAAGTATGGTTACCCCAATTATAACCCTAGTTACTAAGCCCCATGATCCTCTAAGTAGGGTTTACTGTAAGGGTTTAGTAGGGTTTTTTAGGTCTGGGACTCAGTTTCGGGTCTAGGGTTGAGGAGTTCAAGGTTAAGGGCTTAAGGTTCTATAAGGTTATCAGTTAGAAGGGGCCCGCACCCTGTAATAGTGGTGTAATAGGAATATAATAGGGCCCCAATATAATCCTTATAGTCACTATTACAGGGTGGGGGCAGCTTCTAAGTTATCAGTCGTACATAGGGGCTCCTGGGTGTTTGTAAGAAAGGCATTCAACTTCTTTGCTGCTTCCTTACTTAGAGGATCATGGGGCTTAGTAACTAGGGTTATAATTGGGGTAACCATACTTATAATTGCTTATAACCCCACTTAAGGTACTTATAACCTTACTTACTAAGTCCCATGAGCCTCCAAGTACAGGTTCTGTCAGATGTTCGGTTCCATCAACGCTCTGCAAGATCTGGGCTTTACAGGGCCTAGAGTCTGTAAATCCCCTCCCCATAACCCCATCGTGCGCGTGCAAAAGGCCCGCTATGGTTTAGAAGGTACAGGGTATAGGGTTTAGGGTTTAGTGATGCCAGAAATACCCTACAAAGCCCAAATAAATCCAGAGCCCAGCTGCCTTCGGCTTGCATGCACTCTCCCTGTGAGCGTGTTGACGGGCTTGCTTCGAATTCAAAGGGCGGTGGCACGTCCAGGTTGACCTTGGTACTTACGGATTTTTGGGTAGGAGTGTAGAGTTATGGACTTATGGATAATTTGTATGCTCCGACAAACAACAAAAGAAAGAAACGTAATAATGACCATCGTCATTGCATATACACGCTTATCATCTTGACCAAAACAACTTCATGCGCAGAGGCAGACAAGCACTTTCTGCCTACTTCTAAGGAAAAGTCTCTGCCAAGAATACCTGCACGATCAGGGGTGCATACAAGCAAGGTTCTAAGTAAACAGGCTGTATGACTGTTCATAACCCCAAAATTATGTATTCAAAACTCTGCATGCTTGAGCCCCTAAACCCCTAAAACCCATGCATATGGAGACATAAAATCGCATTTACGCATGAAAAACAGAACATGGCAAGCGAGGACGCTCCGAGCCCTGCACCTCGAGGAGGACCAACTTGGGCCTGTAACCCGAGCCCAGGGTCCCTCGCAGCACGTTGAGGTCCTTAGTCTAGGGCTCCTTTGAAGGGATCTATAGGGTTCCTTTAGAGGGATCTATAAGGGTTTAGGGTTCCTTGAAAGGGATACTTACCATTGGCTAGTAGGGAATGGAGGAATGGGGTATAATTATGAGTACTATTACTACCCCATTCTTCCATTCCCTAATAACCAAAGGTAAGACTACCCCTATAGATCCTATTAGAAGGAACCCCTATAGATCCCTTTAAGGAGCCCTGTAGATCCCTTTACGGACCCATTCCCTACTAACCAAAGCTAAGGGTCGAAGGAGCCGGTGCTGAGTGTCAGAGCATCGAAGTCCTGGCTTTCAAGGGAATAGTCCCTGTTTCTCTTTAGAGGTTTCGTTTCGCCGTCCTTTGAGGGATCTACATGGGGTCTGTAAGGGTTCTATAAGGTTTAAGTTTCCGGCTTTGAGTTTGGGTTTGCAAGTTTCGGCGTTGGGTTTCAAAGCTTAAGGCTCGCAAGTTCAAGGATTAAAAAGGATTTCAGAACGTCCAAATCCTTGGGGACGCTGTGCAGCTGCAGCAATCTGTCAGGACTTTCGTATGGCGACGCGCGAAGCTTCGCAAAGATGCGACCACCTGAGATAGCAGCTGATTTAATGCAATCTGCAGTGCTCATGTTTGCGAGGTGATGACAGCATGCGGCGGACTGTAAAATTGTGGAATAGTGCACTAGTGACACTAGTGCGGACTTGGATCTCTCGTTCATGGCCGACAGCCTTTTTCGCAGGGCCTGTCAGTCAAGCACGAAACCAATCCCAAACAATGCAAAAGAAACTCTTCTTGGGATTGCTACTGTTGATCCGTTCCAGTAGTAGCGGTAGCGGTAGTGGTAGTGACTTCGCGGTGGTAGCACTGGTGGTGGTACTACTACTGCTACTACTACTACTACTACTAGTACTACTACTACTACTACTACTACTACTACTACTACTACTACTACTACTACTACTACTACTAGTACTACTACTACTACTACTACTACTACTACTACTACTACTACTACCACTACTACTACTACACTACTACTACTACTACTACTACTACTACTACTACTACTACTACTACTACTACTACTACTACCACTACTACTACTACTACTACCACTACTACTGCTACTACTACTACTACTACTACTACTACTACTACTCCTGCTGCTGCTGCTGCCAGATACTACTACCACTACGACTACCACTACGACTACCACTAAGACTACCACTACCACTACCACTACCACTACCACTACCACTACCACTACCACTACCACTACCACTACCACTACCACTATCACTACCACTACCACCACTACTACTGCTGCTACTACTACGACGACGACGAACTCATACTAGCCAAGGCAGAACCCAGCACCCAAGTCCGCGCCTGGAAGGCTGCAGGGTTTGACTCAATGACCAAGCCTTGCGAAGCTTCAAGGCTTTGGGTTTCGACTTTTCGGTTCAGGGTTCTGGGTTTAGGGTTTAGGGTTTAGGGTTTAGGGTTAAGTTCAAGGTTTAGGATCTAGGGTTTAGAGCTCAGGGCGCAGGGGTTGGGGTCGAGGGCATCATGAGTGAAGCCTGACATTGTGAAACGAAAAGCTCTGACCAGTCTGAGGGGGTCTCTGGTTATGGACCTTGGGTTGCGTTAGGTTGCAGGTTTGAGGTGTAATTTTTCAGGGTCTGGAGTTTAGCTTGCAGGTGGGATGCTCCCAATTTAAGTTGGGGACTCTGCAGTTAATATAAGGAAAGTGTGCGACATCACCAGCACCAGCAATGTGAACATATGTCATCAGCATCATCTTCTTTTCATCTTGACATCAATCAGTCAAGCGCAACAACGTCAGCAACGTCTTCATTACCGTTGTCATTGTAAACATTTTACCGTTATCATCATCGGAACCACTTACACACTTCTGAGGCTGCGACCGCCGATGCCAAGCGAATTGAAGAGTGCAACGCCTTTGTCGTGATCCTGAGAGTGTGCTGCCAGGGCCGGCAAGCTTGTCAGAGGCATCAAAACTGTCAACAGGACCCTCGACTCATTACGTACGAGATTTCACACAATCATATAGTATATGTTCTATCATATTTGTATATCTGTGTGTGTATATGTATATACAGATCCGAAAACTCTAAGCCATGAAGCTGAGGCTCGTCTTCAGCGGACGAGCCAGCAGTGACAGACACCGCGAAGTTATTCCGCTCGGCCTTTGGCACCAAAGCATCCAGCAACACTCGAAAGTCCACCTTGTACGGATCAGGCTCTGGACCCCCTGTAGGTGGTTTAGGATGTAGGGGTTTTGGGTTTAGGCACTGTCGGAGAACCGTTGTGTGGGTTTGGAGCTTAGGGTTTCAGCAGCTTCGGGCCTCGGAATACACCTGTGGAAGACGACGCCACATCATCCCGTCTTCAGCCAGCTGAATGATGCGAAGCATGACGTCCCAAGGAGTTTTTTCCATGCCGGTGATCATTGTACCTTGGGTTTTGAGGCTGTAGATTGTGAGTTTGAGCTCTTATGACCGTGGTCATACTAGGTTTGAAGCGCATTGATAATGCTGCAAGGTGTGTCAAGACCGGTTCAACGGCAAGACACAACCAATTCTATATCAGCCGCGGAACACGCACAAAAAGAGATGCACAATCGAAACATGGCTCCGGCTGGAATGACATGGGAGTTTCCGAAACTAGGGGACGCTAATATAGTACCCTAAAAAGCAGGACCCCAAAAATAAGGTACCCCTAACTTTCGGAAACTCCCACACGTTGTCTGAATAGTCCAAAGCTGCCGTCGTCGGCTTTGGTCAAGCTGCGAGGCTGCGAGGGGTTGCAACACAGCAAATGTAGATGGTAGTTCTCTATATTAGGATCCCTTTTTAGGGTCCTTTTTACGTGGGTGCCGCCTTTTTCGGTACCCAAATTGGACCCTACATTAGGGAACTACGCAGACCCAAGCGCAAATCCTACAACCCCGGAAGGTTGAATGCTTTTGGGATTTAGCTTCATAACTAGGGCCCTAAGCACTACATCCTGAAACTCGAGACCTATGGTCATGGCTTTACGTTCATCCCGTGGTAACAAAAAACTCAACAGCTGAAGGCCCAAACTAACGTCCAAGCTTGTAGCTATTCTTTCTCCCCACCTTAAGTTTTCGCTTTCACAGCACGTGGGGTTTGGGGCCCAGGTGTAGCGTTCGAATCTAGATTAAGGTGCATGGTGGACCCACAAAGAAATTTGATCCGGCACGGCTGGACCAAACCTCAGAAAGTATTCACTTTACTTGGAGGATCATGGGACTTAGTGAATAAGGTTAGAGTATAGTTGCCAAAATTATAACCCTAGTTACTAGGTCCCATGATCCTCTAAGTAATTCTCAGCTTCCAATCTCCACACCTCAGATGATCGCGAAGACCCAAGCTGAGGGTTGCGAGGCTTCGATTCTTGCAGACACATGTTTTCGGATGTCTCTGCCAAACTATTTGCAGCAAAGTTGTGTTCAAGAACTTCAAAACAGGCGCCGAAAGGCTGAAAACTATGCCTTAAGTGGAGGATTTGGGAGAGGTCTTGGTAATTTGATATGCTGTGCCCTTCTCGAGGTGTCGAACTGCCCAACCCTAAACCCTAAACCCTTAACCTTACAACCAGGCAAGAGCCCCAATGACAATTTGCGAAAAAAACGACCAGCACCATGGTCAAGGTTGTAGACTCGAGCCGAGACAGGTGGGTAGGTCTCTAAACTAGGGGTGCTTTTCAGGCTCCTTTTTATGAGGGTTTGGGGTTTAGGGTTTAGGGGTTCAGGGTTTAGGGTTAGAAGTTAAAGTTGTAGTAGATTACACCATGACAGAATATTAATATGCAAAATGATGTGTTCTAGTATAATCTTTGGTAAGGACTAAGGTTAAGGGTCAGGATCTTCTCGGAAAACGTATTTTCTCGTACCAGGCGTCGGACATTGTCAGCCGAAACATCGCCAAACGGCGGCGAGCAGCTGACGGGAACACAGGACACATCGTTTCAGCAAAACGATGCCCACCGCATGCAAATATTGCCTGCCTCCAGACTTACCTTTGGTTTTTACGGAATGGAAGAATGGTAGTAATAGTAGTTGTAATTGCACCCCATTCCTTCATTCCCTACTAACCAAAGGTAAGCAGAAGAAGAGTGCAAACTCCGTTTCTGGGTGTAGGCATGGTCTAGCCGCAAGGAGATCCCAAGGGCCTGCTGACAGCATCGCGGGTTGAAGACGGAACCCTTGAAACCCTAAACCCTAAACCCCAATACAAAGGCCTTAATAATTATCTGTACTTTCTGGGGGTTCCTTGTTATAACCATAGTATACTATACCTCAAACCCTATTGTAAGTATCAACTGGGGCCTAGAGTTCCCCGCGAACCTCGGCTGGTCTCTCCCAAAGAGCCCAAATTAAGGGTTTGGGGTTAAGGGTTTAGGGCCCCTGCTCCAAGCACAACTTCACGAATAGCTCGAACAATGTTCCGTAATGAGTCAAGACATAGTAGACTCTCCAAGCAGCATACAAATCTCCGTAACCGGTTGTGGAACAGGCTTGTGGCTGTTTCATTAGATCACCTGAACCTCCATGGATCAGGGATGAAAGTCGCACACGTGGAACGCCAAGTCCCGACAGAGTCTGCATGTCAAGTGATGACGGACTGTTGAATGCATTTACCAACATGGACTTGCTTCGAACCTTTGATCCTAAATCCTATCGTTTCTGCGGGGCCTGAACGAGTGCATTTCGAATGCCATGCCCAACTTCAAAAAAGTTTGGACAGAGTTGAAACTTCTGTCTCTGGCGTCCCCTTGTCTACAGCCCCTCGAAAGCTCAGGGTCGAAGGGATGTCGAGTGTGCGCCTGGCGTTGCCTGAATAATGAAGCCTTCAACTCCAGAGGGTTTCTCAATACTATGTAACGGAAATTCATTCATTGAGATGTTTCGGGGTTTTGGGGAAGAAGAATGTCTTGGTCTCCGTCTTCGCTTTAGGCACGGCCCAGAACCACCAGGAGTAAAATGCGCGTAATGCACGCGACTACGAACGGCCGCGAGTGTTGACCGAGAAACAAGCTTGTGCAGGGTTCAGAATTTAGGGTGTAAGGGTTCCTTTAAAGGTACTATAAGGGTTCCTTCAAGGGATCTATAGGGTTCAGGGTGCAGGGTTCAGGATGTAGAGTGTTAGGGTCCACTAATTTAGAGTCTAGGGTTAAGGATTTGTGCCTCGGGTTTTGCCTCACATTTCGATTTTGTTGCATGTGGGTCTATACAACTAAGATAAACCCCAGAGAACTTCCCGCACAGCTTGTTAGAGTAATCCTGAAATTAACAAGCCCCAGCACAGATTTAAAGGTGGAGTGTCATGGAGAACTTGTCGGGGCTTCCAGGGTCGAGCTATAGTGGTGATCTAGAATGATAAAGACTTCCATTGATAGCCTATTGTAGCTGTACCACCCGTGGACAAGCAGAATGGGTCAACAGCAACGGAACAGCATCCCGACATCAACGTTCATTAGCTGAACGTGGCTAGATGTCACAGCGAAGCACGGGTGAGACTACCCAAGGCCGCCAATCAACATCAGCAATCAGGAACGCATCTCACAGGCACCGGCTGGTGCTGCACCCGCGACATACAGTGAAGAACCGGTAAACACTTCCATAATAGCAGAGTCACAATGCTCCACATAAACCAGGAAATTACAGCTCCATAAACTGGTCCATGTGAATGGTCGACAAGAAACCACACAATATACTCCTCCAAGGTGATTAACCAAGTCGCAGCATACAGGTGAGAGGCCGCAGCAACGGCTGACAACAGCAGGTCAACATACGTCCTGCAATACTTGGCCCGCAGGAGGAAAGTAGTGTGGCATAGGAGCTTCATCGTACAAGGATAGATTCCGAACATAATTGTGACTGCTCTGCTAAGCTCAACCCAGCGTGTCCACATGGTCCACTCTCCATCATGACTGGCGCTCAGATCCATCTGTAACCACAACCAAGGAATCATTGCCGCGACCATGCGGTGATATGAAAAGGCTGCATGTGCAAGCTGGTACGCCAAAGCCACCTGCGGTCAGAGAAGAACCCAAGAGCACCCTATTTAGGCTTTCGGGGGTTTTGGCATCACATCGGCACGAGTAGCCTGCAACAACTTTACTTGCTGATGATCCCCGTGTGCATGTATACCCATCGAGCACGAGGATATGACTTTTGCTACGATGGTTGCCGAACGGATACAACACAGCAGCATGCAAAGAGGTCACAAGCATTGATCGGAATCCGCCTGCATCTCCATTCGCACTCGATTTTCGAAGCTTTCAATGGATCCGAACCATGCGATGACACACTTTCCAATGATGTCTTTGTCACATAGGCCTCCTTCGTGACGACCCCGTTCACAGCAGTCACATTGGGCCTTCTCAAAAGAGAAGACTGCGGCTTGATGCTTCATCACCTCGATGCTGCGCCAATATGCACGAAGCCCATGTGTCAGCAGGATCGCGCATGGAAAGAAGACCACAGCCAAGATAACATTCTTTAGCATCTCGAGGTCCTTCCCCATGTGCGATAAAGCCAATGCTGCAGCCACTGTGAGCTGAGAGCCGAGGCAGATGGCACCCTGAAGAGGTGGGACAACCGTCAGCTTGGCGTCTTTGGGGTGGCTGTAAAGGAAGGCGCCGAATTCAAAGGCACACCACAGGCGCAAAGTGAAAGACGGATCCCAGAGAACCAGTAAGGATTTCGATCTCTTCAACCATGCACCCAGGCTCAGAAGACCCTGAGCCTTCAGGGCTTAGGTTTAAGGGTCAACACAAGGGTTCGAAATTAGGGTCTGGTGGTACTTGTCATTTACCCGTCAGGGCTCTCGTGAACAAGGTTTACAAGATGTGTGTTCTGCAACTTGTTCAGCCTTCAAGACAGGGTCATCCTGCTTGATGCAAGCGACGTCCAGGAACACACGTGCATGTCGACGGCAGAAGAGCCTATACTGAACTTAGAACCCTAGCAAAAATCATAATTTTAGCTGTTTCTTAGGGATTATCATAACCAAAAAATGTTAGATCATTTCTAAATACCCCAAAGGAGCATGGTCAAGACATAGGCCCCTGCTGCGGAGAAGGAACACCAGCTGCAAGGATAGGGACCTTGGGTCCACTCGGGCAGAAGTCCCATGAGGAAGAGAACATAGGCGACCGCGGCAAATAGCAGACTCATCAAACATGCTGGTAGGGTATGTTTGAGAAAGAGCACATTCACCTCGCGGATCGAAACTGCCCCAAATTTGGTGATTAGGGTTGAGGGTTTAGGGCAAAACAATCCATCTTCTCATCAATCTTCTGGACCCTTCGAGCTCAGATGCTCGGTAGCTTGGAGTCTTCTGAGTTACGTTTCCAGTGGAAGACTTTTTGGCTTTGAGTTTCGGGCTTCGAGTTGCGGGCTGTAGGGGGTTTAGGGTTTAGGTTTAGAGGTTTGGGCTTCTGGGTCTGTGGATTCGGGTCTACGGTGCAGGATAACGTAACCGAGATCGGCATATCCAGCTCTTGGAGTTTGTGGCCGCAACACCCACAAACCATGACGACCATGTTAACGCTCTCAAGACGCTTCTGAAAGGACATTTGGCGTGCACCCTTAAAACTTGTAACGGTCTGTAAGCAAGACCTTCCGCTGCGCATGCTTCTGCCACAGAACCCTGCGGAACACTAACCCAAAGCCCAATGGCACCAGGGCACGTATTTGGTCCATGCCGACAAGCGCCAGCTATGGGACCAGAACTCATCCAAGGTGTCCACCGGTTCCGCGAGGTAGTGCAGCTTCCATAATTCCCGTCGCCACCAGAGCCACGGCGCATGTTTCAGAAAGTGGCAAACCCGGAGTCCACACAGGATGTCGGGAACTGCATTCATGTCAGACATGTATTCAACCGCTTGCTGCACGTGGGGTTAAAGATCGACGAATTCTCCGTCCGCCCCTTCGGGAGCACCAAGTGCCGTCGGCTGCTCAGCATTAACATCCACATCCTCCATCTGGGTCAAAGGATCCGGGGGGCTAGTCCTTTTTAGCTGACGCCCCTTGGAAAAACCAGAGCAAAGCTGCGAAGCTTTTGACTTCTCGCGATATCTTCTTGATTGAAAGTAAAACTCGCCAACATCGTTTTTGATTTTCCAGTATGGAAATGATATCACGGATAAAGAAACACTGATGGATAAAGAAACACCGGTGGCGGACCTGTGGTTTGGGCCGGAGCCAAATTTCTTCTTGCTCATCCATGCATTTTCTAAACATTGACAAACCTTCCACGGAGCACTCTGCAGGGAGTGTGTTCAAAAGAAAACTGCCGGACCGACAGTATGCCAGAACATAAATTTCACATGATCACCCTGGAAACTGCAACATCTGGCACCTGACATCTGCTTACGCTGTTGGCATGCGTAACCCTTCCTCTTATTTTTCGCTACTTCTTCATTGCAATGTTCAAACACCCAAATGTCGAAAACTTGGCTGCTCGGCAATCCATTGTGTTTCAACGTGAACTGTCTTTTGGGAAGACTTTACAGCTTGGCAGGTACATTCGAGGTTGCTCTTTTCTACGGTTACAGCGTGCAGCTTCTCCAAAAACGCCATGGTCGCAAACGCGCCAGGCATTCCTCGACGGCACGACTCATGCATCTTTCCCGACGTCTTAATTTTCGACGCAAAAACTTGAGGTTGGTGCTTCCTATGAACTTGCACAACATTTTCCGTGCAACCAATTGACAGAGATGGTTCTGCAAAAATCATTTATGCAATTCCGACAGACACAGCGACAGAGAATTGGAACAGCACGGAAAGTAAAGACAATTTTCCTTCAATGAATCTCGTTTTTTTCGAATTTTCGATGCTTATTTCTCACTTCCTGGCACAAAAATGATGTGCAGCGCAGCAATCTAAGACAAAGAGCAACAACGGCCTTTATTGCGTTTTTTTATCATGTTGTCAACGTCCTCACTTCCAACCGATGAACTTTTTTTTTGGCGCGGACGGGCTTCAATAAGTGCCGCAGCAGCACTCGGTCCCTGTAAGAAGCCTAGCGAACGAAGATAACAACACAAAAAGCAGTGAAACAAGCTGCACGTCTTTGCCGGCTGTCGTTCTCGGAGGCCGCCTGGTCTTGCAAGGTGTGCGACCTCAGACTCTCTCACTGGCCTTACCTTCCCAAAGAATTCATTGGTATCTGGCCTTGCTCAACACATGGTGAGCGTGATGGCCACATATCCCATCTTGGTCCGCAAGTGCATGACCCAAGCTCACGTTGACAAAGCGATTGTGGCGGTTGTGTCTCGCAATGCCACGGCGCACCTTCTCACCGACTCTTTCGCGAAGCCTGGAGAGCGCAATTGGTGGCCACGTGGCGCACTGGTAAAATACGATGTGGACACAGCCACATGCACCCTGCCACCAGATCTCCGCTCTGCTTCTGAGAAAACGCTCGAAAACCAAAAAAACGTGGAAAGAAGGAAACATGCCAGTTTTTGAAGCCACGATCGGGAGTCGCAATGACCTCTTTTTTCGAAGGGTTTCGGTCTGACATGAACCGGTCAAATCTGTTAAAATGAACGTCAAAACATGATCCGGGACACTTTAGAGGCTCGCAGCTGCTCCGAGTCTCTGTTTCAATGCTCAAGTGTCTGCAAAAAGCATGAACACGGCAGCGAGTTCCCAGCCCATGATACGTTTGCAAAATGCAGTGCAGAGTGTCCTCACTCGAGCGACCATGCAAGCTCTTTGCTTGGAGCCAGCACAGTAAATCCAGTTAAGCGATCTCGCCTGGCACATTTTGCATATGCTGAGCCATCGAAGTCATTTCAAACGTGATCGTGGCAGCTGTCTAAGCAGTTGGGTTCGCTCCAAAGAGAAGCTTGTGCGACTGCGTAGAGTTGCACAAAATGAAAACCCAGAAATGGACTGCACATTGCTCCGTGCCTCAACAATGATGCTCAAGTGTCTGCACAAAGTTCCCAGCCGATGCATGTTTGCAAAGGTGCAGAGCGTCCTTCTCGAGCGACCATGCGACACGCTGTTGACAACCAATCCTGTTACGACTGTCTTGAATTTGCTTTTGAGAAAGCGCATCCTCCACTTCGTCAAAGTTGAGCAGCTGACAACTGAGATCCATTCACAAACGTCCTTTCGCAGCGCTCACAACAAAGAAGCGTCTCTTTCCGAGGCACGGTCCATTGGTCTCACCTCCGCGCACCCGACTTTGTTTTTCATGGAGCTTCGCAAGATGGGCATCGAAAGGGGGATGCAAGCGGCGAAGCCAGGTTACCAGCCAAATCTCGGCACGTAACCCAGTTGGAGCTGACATTCACGTCAAGTGCCAAAATACATTGACCGAACGGTACGTCACCCAGGGTCAAGTGGAAAAAAAACATGAAGTTCAAGTCTCTCAACTGATCTTACGTGAGGACCATGCCATCTCCGGAAGACTTGCCACACCACTACACATAACCACGGACACTGTTCGGGCGAAGTGGACTTGAAATCTTGGTGTCGATTTGCTTACGTTGCAGTTGATTCCGCATCTGCATCTCCTGGCTTGGAAGAATCACTTTCCTCAAACCCGTGTTGCAACGCTGTTACAACGAACACAGCCGAGACTTCTTCGTCCAGCTGAGACTCTGTGCAGTGTTTCTCTCAGTTTGGCTCCATGTAAGAAGTTTCTCGCTTCCGCTTGAAACAACAGAATCTTCGAGTTTGCTGGCTTGTTCATCGAGCTGTCATGATGCTGGTTCCGACCACATTGGAGCCTCAATTCCGCTGCGTCCATGTCGCTTCTTCGCTCGAGGGTTCCGCGCAGCAGTGCGTGGTCCAACTGTAGTCACAGTGGCCGACCGTTCTATGTTCCGTCTTGGAAGACCTGCTCAACAGTCGGTGAGGTGATGTATTGTTTTTTCGTGCAGAGAATGTACGGACCTTATGTTCTGCGCTGCGTCCTCTGACAGGTGTGTTGGAGTCTCCAATGGAGTCTTCGTTGCAGCTGTTCCCTCGATTACTGTACAAAGTCCGTCGCGTCGATGACGTCTCTGTGCACTGACGCCACCTGTTCTGTCTGTTTGCTGTGCAAGACGTGTACGTTCTTCGTCTGTCCCCTTAGCACTTGGGAACCCCTTCTGCAATGGTTTTGAGAAGCAGGGGCTGCATTCGAAAGAGCTTTTGGGACTTGTTGAAACGTCAGCGAATGTTGCAGTAAGCGAGAACGCCGCTTCTACCACTTTAGCATGCCCGCCTCTTAACGTCTGTTTCGGTCTGTGCCTTTTCTCAACAGGTTACAAGGTTGACACTGGCAGTTCCCGTCAGGAGGCCGCCTACCCTTGGCTGCTTTGTGAACGCATGCTTTACACACTGGCGGACGGTTATCCTTCGTAGGCTGCCTCTGCTCAACAACCACGTACCTGCGAACAAGTGGCACTGCAAAGGCAACCAAAACATGCGCGACCTCTGGTCTCCTGCTACAGCGCTTATGACCATTGGGCTGTACCAGTACGGTCAGAGCGCGCTGCCGACCCTATCTTGCAGTGCTACTCCAAAGGAGCCCGTGTTACACAACGCAAACTGGTGCCATGGGGAGCGGTGCGGGTTTGCGCTGTCTCGGCTTATGCTGGCTTCGACAGAAAGAAGTCCTCCGAGCTGCTAGGTGTTGAGGCAAGGATCGCAGATAATGACCTTGCAGATTTCTCTTCCATTGCTGGGGAAGACAAGAGTGAAGTGTACGAGGTGGTCGGAATGGTGTGTGACGATAACCCCTGCGCCACCCAAGCAGACATTCTTACCATTGGCATTCCGCGCGAGCCCGAGGACTTCGTTAAGGCAGCCGTTCTTGCTGGACACCCTCGCAATGCGATACTCGTCAATCGTCATGGCCCTGCAAAAGGGATCGCGGCCAACGTGGTTATGCCGGCGGATGAACGCCGAAGACGGGCCGAAAAATCCAGGAGTGCTTGGAAGAAAATTTCGGAGGAGTCGGCAGCCATGAATGCTGCTCTCATGGAGCAAAAGCCCACGTACTTGGCGAAGGCATTGGAGGGGAAGAACGTTCTGGCATGGAAACGAATCCTCGAGCGAAATGAGTTTCCCGACAAGCTGCTCTGGGCAGACTTGCGTGATGGTTTCCGCTTGACCGGATGGATGAGGGAGACGGGGGTCTTCAAGCCCCGCGTCAAGGCCCCTGAATCTTCCTTGGAAAATTTGCTGGCCCAATCGTCCTACCGATCTCCGATGACCATGAGACGCATAGCGAGTACCAAGCTTGATGAGACGGCCGAAAAGGCGTGGGCCGAAACTATGGAGGAGGAGCGCAAAGGATGGATCTTCGAGGACACTGACCCGGATTTCAACAATATCGTTCTGGCTCACAGGTTTGGACTGGAGCAGAAAAACAAAGTTCGAGTCATTGACAACGGAAAGGACTGTGGTCTGAATATGGCTTGTGGTCTGCCAGAGAAATTTACCCTGCACGGGGTTGACGTTCTTGCAGCAGTTTTCCTTGAGCTGTTGAACGTGCCGAAGGACAAGCTACGCCGATTGGTTGGAAAGACGATAGACCTTGTTTCCGCTTACAAGTTTTATCCGGTGCACCCTCTTGATCGGCAACACTTGAGAATTGGCGTGTTTGACACAGACAACAAGACACCACGCGTTTATGGAACGAACGTCCTGCCGTTCGGGGCCACAGGAAGTGTGGCGGGATTCCTCCGGGTCTCTGCTGCAATCTGGCATACGAGCACCCGGGACATGGGACTGGGATGGTGTGCTTACTTCGATGATTTTCCTTTGCTATCGTGCGATGGAATGGAGGATCAAATTGACGAGCTCGCCGATGAGGTCTTTGAGGCTCTGGGGGTCCAGTACGCCAAGGAAGGAAAGAAAGCGACTAAAGTTGATGCTGTTTTCAATGCCTTGGGCTTGGCCTTTGACTTGACTGAATTCCAGAATGGGATCATTTCGATTACTCACACGGCCGAGAGAAGGACCGAGCTGAAGGACGTCCTTGAGAACATCTTGCTGATGGGCAAACTCAGCTCCAAGGAAGCCGAGGTTCTCCGGGGACGCATGCATTGGTATTCTTCTTATCTCTTCGGGAGGGCACCTTGCGAAGCTATGCATCAACTGTCTTTGAGGGCCAGAGGGATTGACGGCACGTCGGAGCTCGGCGCTGATCTTGAATGGGCGCTTCGGACCCTGCGGGAACACGTTACCACTTCGAGGCCCTTGGAATTGAGGCAAACTTCAGGAAAGGAGCTCTTCGTATTCACAGATGGATCCTACGAACCCGCATAGGGGGGGTCATCTACGATGCTTCTGGCTCTCCGCTTGCCTTCTTCAGCTCTGAGGTCCCTAAAGCGGACTTGGATGTTCTGGAAACCGAATCTGAGCATCCCATATATGAAGTCGAACTTTACGCGGTTCTTGTGGCTTTTTGGAAGGACACCTTTAGCACCTTCTACTTAGACAACGAAGCTGCGCAATCCGCGTTGATTGCTGGCCGCTCTGGAACAAAGAACGGACGGCGACTTCTACAACAAGTCTTATCGCTGGAACATGACAACCTGACTAGGCCGTGGTTTGACCCACTCGAACCCGGCAGATGCGCCTAGTCGTCAGATTGTGGACCACTTGATTAGACAGGGTGCACGGCAGGACGATACGAGCTTGGACCGATTGCTTTAGCATGCCTTTGGAGACGAGCTGAAGTGCACATCAATGGGGGAAGTTCGGGTGCACTTAAACTGTGCGTTGAAGGAGTCGTGGCCCTTGGCCGAGCTTTGGAAGCTTGACCTTGGGACAGACATCGTTACCTTTTGGCATTCGAAATTCCCCACGGCACTTCGAGCTTATCCGATAAAAAGAAGGAGGGGTCCGAGTGAATGCTATATTGCTCGACTTCCCAAATAACGAAGAATTTGTTTATGCGTTTGTGGACTTGGAAATAAGTGACCACATCACTTGTGATTTTCACTTTATTTCCATTTTCACGACGATCGTTGTCTCGTTGAGAAACGATTGAGCATGAACTCTTCGAACGTGTATTTGGGAAACCGTTTCAACTTTGAATCTTTCATGAACCTGCTTGTTACATGTTTGTTTAACAATATGTCTTCCGCGCACGCTCCTTTCAAGCACATGTGTGCAAGTTTTTGTTTCATACGTACCTATATTGCTCGACTTCCCAAATAACGAAGAATTTGTTTATGCGTTTGTGGACTTGGAAATAAGCCTTCCATCTTCTCACTGACTACGTCTCACGGAGCCCGTATTACCTGCCTCAGGTAAATCGGTTCGCCCTGCCTCACCTGCTTCGTGCCAAAGCCTACTTTGGCTCCGCCACTGGCATTTTTAGCCGCTAGCCTGCCTCGGCTCCCCCCAAGCCTACGTATTGGCCTTTCAAGAAGTCTCACTTACTTCTCACAAAGACTAGTCTAACGGGGGAGTTTATGCCTTGGCTAGCCCTCTATGCCTTGGTACCTCCGGGCTAGCCGCGAAGCCTCTACGGTATAAAAGATGGCAGCCAGTGGTAGAGCAGTGCAAGCCTCTCTAGAACTGTCCCGTCTGCCCCTGGCATTGCAGCAACTTCGCGGGCATCCGCTGAGTGCCTCAGTGCTCCTGCGAGGTCTCTAGTCGCCGCCTAGTCTCCAGGACGAGACCACCAGGGAGGACAAGGCCCTGTGAGACTTGACGAAGGTGCTGTCTGTGTCAGATGGCACCTTGCTCACGCTGCTTCAGACTCATCCGACGAGCCTTGCTTGGTTCGCAAGATTTTCAGAGTTAATGCACCAGTCCAGCGCCCGCAGCTTGCATTCAACATGCACGGCCTCTTGCACCCTTGCGCCCTGTGGCTCAGAGAGAGGGAGGAGAGGGAGGAGAGGCGAGCAGGGTGCGCTGCAGGGCGCGGCAGCTCCTTGGCACCAGGGCTGGAGCTGAGGAGACGAGCACGTGCCACGGCGTGCCACGTCGTGCCACGTCGTGCCACGTCGTGCCGTGCCACACACACCGACGGCGTGCCCCGGAGCAGGGCAATGCAACCGCAACTTCAGCGCTTCGAGGCTTCGCTTAGAGGCTTCGAGGCGTTTTCACGTTTCACTCCGCAGAGCCACAGTGGTTGGATTGCCCATAGTTACGAAAAAAAGCCTGGCATGGCGGCATGGCATTCCTCTATTCAATCGGAGCCGCTGTGAGCAGTTGGATGACGGCCGGGGTGGGCGCTGCCTTGAGGTGCGTGTCTGAAGCCTTTTGGTTCCAGGGTGGGAGGTGGGAAGCCCTAAGCTGAGCAAAGGCTCAATTCTTGTCCCGCCCGCCCAATTCGTGACTGTATGTCCAATTGATGCACATATTCTCGATTTTTGTAAGAATACATGTAAGGATGCCCTTATATCTTAGGGCGAGAAGGGACTTCGGAAGAAACAAATTTGTTGTCCCACAGTGTGTCCCGTGTTCTTCTACCATTTCTTTTGGTCAGCACGTTTCAAACTGGCCAACTTGGGCGCGTTCTTGCCATTTCATGGTGAGAAACAGAGCGATTTGTCCGCTGAGCGTGTGCATCGTCGGAGTGGTTGCATATTGATTGCAGGTTGAACGGACGAGGGTGAGGGCGGGGCTAAGGCGAGGGCGAGGATCGAAACGATTTTACTGGACAGTTGTAGCTTTTGAAGGTGTCCAAGAATTGCGCTTACTTCAGCGAAATCTGGCCGCTGGTTTGTTCCAAGATTTGGGTCTCGTTTTAGGTGCAAGCCACATTCTGCCAACCATCTGTTGCACAATTCGGACCCAAGTCGGTTTGTGCAACAGGTTCTTGCTAAGCAGTTGCTTCGCAAACCAGATTCTTACGGAGGGCTCGGAATTTCGGAACAGGGTCCGAGGTCCCCTGTTTGATCCGGAAATATCGCCAGGTGGCCGATTTCAAGCCGCATATAGCCGCATTCAAAACGTTCAAGCTGACACGAAAGACTTGAACAGTTTTTGAAAGAAAAGCAGGCTCGGTAACGCTTTGCCTACACAGTAGCTCTGCCTCGTTTCCTGCGCCGCACCTCAGCAAGCTCTGCGAGAAAAACGAGTGTCCTCGCTTTGACTTTTTGTGCGGTTGAACGCCAAACCTAAAGAACAGAGGAAGAATGCACTGAGTCGTCCGAATGGGCTCAGGTTCGGTGTTATTAAGACCCTTGGTGACATGCACGCATCAACTTTCGCGACAGGCTAAAAGGTGGTCGCTAGACGTCCGATCCGTCTAGGTCTAAGAGCTTTTGAAATCAGTGGTTTACAGCATTGACGGCCCACTTCAGTTACGCATTACACAACATGGATTCGGCGATCAGTCCTGACAGCCATCCAGCTTTCCACTCAGTTAGCCGGTCTGCGTTGTGGGAAGTTCACGTGCTTGTGGACAGAAGTGACGAGGCCCCGCGGCAGGGGCAGAGATTGCGACTCCTTTGTTTGCATGGTCATGATGAGACCCCAGAACGACTTTGCGAAGGCCTGCAGACATTTTTTGACCAGTTGGCCAAGGTCGGCACAGACAAGCGAGTGACAGTAGAATGTCGTTGTGTGGCGGCACACATACATGAGCCATCGCGCTACAACGGCTACAAATGGTTCCGGTATGACGAGCAGTGCGGAGAGAGGCCAGAGGATTGGGCAGACATGGAGGCCGGGTGTGTTTTTGCACCACATATCATCGCTTTTGTGAGCGTTGGCCCACTGAGGTTGCAATTACAAAGCTGGCGGTGGAGCTGGAGGCAGCAGAACACAACGAGCTGCCATATGATGGCGTCGTAGGCCAGTCTAAAACATTATGTGTCATGAAAGCACTCCTCTTTCTTGTGTTATATCCTTGAGTGTCGCAGCCCAGAGGATTTTCGCAGGGTGCAGAGATGGTTCACGCTGTGGTGCTGCTGCAGCATCAGGGCGATCCTCGCTTTTGCAGCCTTTCCAGCCCCCATTTCGTGGCAGCTTGATGGTTGATCTGGCTTCACGGTTCTGCTATTATGTCCAAACGAGTCTAACGCTAATGCCGGGCTGGCTTATGCCCGTTACGAATCCGAGGTGAGCTTCAGTGGCGCTGTGAACCCTGGTCATTTTGAAGCTGTGAGTGGCGGAGGCCCGCCACGAAACCTTCTGGGACCCTACCTGGGCCCAAAGGCTGGGGAGACGCTGACTCAGTCGCGAGCATTCTTTCACTGTCAACAGGCGAATCTAGCCATGAATTCTTTGTGAGCTGTGGCTCAGCTCAGGATCAAGATGCCCTGCCTTTTCCTGTACGACCGTACGGACAAATGGTACCCCTGCAGCCGTGTTGCCCAGACCATGGATCTCTACGCCGATCGGGCTCTTGTGTTCAATTTTCAACAGTCGCAGTTGTTTGTATTACCTAATGCAAGCGCCGTGTAATCTGCTTTCCAAGTCCCAGGTGGCGGTTGAGCACAGCCAGAAACACTCGGTTCCTCGAGCGCAGCTTAGTAGCGAGTCTGTGAGTGCCGCCCAGCGCTTCCTGCTCCGATTTGCGAGGCAGCGCTAGGGGCTGCGCACCTGCTAGGAACGGTGGGGCAGGCAACAAAGTTGTCTGTTTGAAGGCGATTGAATGCCGCTTTCGATTCCGTGGGATCGGAAGGCAAAGCTGATGGAGTCGCAAGAGGTGTGGCGTTCTCGCTTTTTTTGGTTCTATGGCGTTTATTCCGGCAGGGCGAATGGTCCAGGATGATGTGAGCTTCACTGTGAGTGCTTTCTGAGTAGGCTTTTGAGGTCATGTTCGTGACGAAGACGATGGCATCGATTTTTGCCCGAGCCATCCTGAGACGTTCCGGCTCAAACTTTGCTTAGATTGCGTTTTAGCACTTGAAGGACCTGCATGGACCTGCTTCGATAATTTCGCATTGCCGGTTGCTGGCTTTGGCTTGGAATCCTGTCGATAAATTTCGCCTAAACCTCATTGAGTCGCTGCTGTTGCACGTACCTTGCAGCTTTGTTATGCCTGTGGCAGGACATTAGCAGAATGGTTGGCAGGCCAGTTGCCGTAATGTTAGTTAAATTTCTGAGCTGCCGTGGTTGAGCGTACTTGATGTAGCACCACTGGGCTTGCGAGTAGATTGGTGGATGTATGCTAAAGTACAGATTTACCCTTCGGAAGCGCAACGCTCACGGACTGCTGGTCCGTGATGGCATCTGTGGTTCTGAGACGGTTCGTGCGGTTCGGCATGTTTTGCTGCATGTCTGCCTCTGAAATCCAGTTGCCAGGGCCTGTGTGTTTGCGAGGCTGGAGAGGGAGTTGGGGAGTTGGGGGTCTCTGTTCTGCTCGATAGTGGGCTGACGCGAGGCGAACTGAAAAGCTGGATTCTCTAGACTGCCGGTTTCTTGTTTTGAATCCAATCACTGGACATCGACATCCTATGTGAGGTTAGCTTTGTCCTGCAAAGCAATCCACGTCCAGGGCTTTAATCATTCGCGGGTCCGTGAGGTGTAGGAGAGCCGGGGCCACGGCGGATCAGTGCAAAGTGCCCTTTCTCAGATCACATCCGTGTTTCCTTGTGCTCGGTCGGTCGGAGTTCAGGGCATAGGGCAATCTTGGGTGCGGCAATGATGAACGACGGGGATGCGACAGCCGTGTTGCAGGTGCGAGTACTTCAACCCGCTGAGCTCCGTGAAGGCCCATCAGCAGACTTCCCAAACCGCCGTTGCAGCCCAGCATCGTGAAATCCGCACTGCTGTTGAGTAACTTACAAGATCGGCTTGCCATCGCCATCATCAGGCCTGACCGGTCGTGCCAAGCTTTCATGTCACATGTCCTTTGATCCATTCAGATCCGATCAGAGAAGGAAGGTGGATTCCAGGACGCCGAGCAGGAGGGAGACCTGAAGCCCGTTCCGGTTTTCGTTGTGTGCGGCTTTCTGAATCCTGGCAAGGTTGTGGAGGATCAGCCAGGGAAATGAGGCCTGCGACCTACAAATGAGTGAAAGACTCGATGTCACTTATGCAGTGATGGACTGTGCGCAGCATGCTCCTTGTGGAATCTTGTGGAACAATGGCGCACTTTGGCTCCTCAAGTGCATCGACGGCCGGGAATTCTCGCAGCGGTTAGTGTCAAGATGAATGTTAGTACGGGTGTTTCACTCTCGACCCTGCATCTCAGCAGCACAAGCGATGATGATTCCGAATCCGACAGCCTGACCAGCTTCAAGCCTGCAGACCCGATTCAGTGGCACGACCGTGAGCTGCCGTCGTGGGCGTACGATGATTCTGCCGTGCAGGTCATTTCATGTGTCATGGAATGGAAGGCGCCAGCTTTAGTTAGAGTCGGAGCAGCAAGCACACGTGTATTGGCGTTCGTGTGGCGCTACGTCTTTTATGCTATGCTTGTTGTGTGGTTCTTCTGGGCTGCTTTCCCGCTGGTCGTCGCAAATTTTGCTACTTGTGACGAGCAAGGCGGCTTCTCTCGTATATCTGCTAAGCTGCTGATCATCTACGTCCCCTTCGTCTTGCTGTCCCTTTGGCTCGAGTGCAAGGTCCTGGCTGCCAAGATTCCCATGGAGGTGTGCTCCTTGGGTGGCTGGACCTTTCTTGGCGTTCGTGTCCCCTTCTCTGCATACTTCGGCGTGCAGCTCGTGGTCAGCGCCGTGAGCCACATGGACCTCGCCACAAATGGCATTGTCTACGCAGAGATTCTACACACGGCATCTTGCGACGGGAACCGTGTTGATGAGACCTGGGCGTTGGTAAGCCAGCGCTCGGTTTTCCACGAACGGTTGCCCCGCCTCAGTGCGGTTGCCTCAATCAGCTATGGGTTGATGGTCGTTCAGCTTCTCTATGCTTTGTACACTGGGCTGCCGCTGTTCACAAACAGCAACCCTCGAGTGAAGAGTCTCTCTGAATGGCTTACAATGAAGGCACCCGTGATGCACAGCAAGGATGACTTGCCGCAGAGCCCTTATGCCATCACGTTGCAATCATGGTCGGAGGAGGTTTGGGCCACTGAGCTGGTGATGTCTTTGAGCCCTGCAGCCCGGCTCACTGCAGTCATGGCTCGAGAGACAGAGCGGGTCAAGGTGACGGAGTTGGCCAAAGTCCAACAGCTGAGCGGAGCAGACCCATGGACCCGAGCTTCGTTGGTCACCTGGGCGAGGCTCATCACACAGCGGCTCTTCTTGACTGCTTGCTTCGAGGGGGCCCTTTTCACCAACATCACCGGCAGCGTGCTTGCCATCGAGAAATACTTGACCGGTCGGGCCGACATTCTGACCCTGGCCTCCGTCGTCTTGAGCAGTCTCATGTTTGCGGAACGCTTGATCTCAACCGTAAAGGTCGTGCGGGCCGTCACAGTGGTGCTGTGGCCTGAGCTCAACGATGACAAGGCTAGTGACGAAGACAGGAAGTTTCAAGAGCAAGGTTATGAGGAGATCAATCGATCGTCACTCAAGGGCTACCTGTTGCGCACGGTGACCTTGCTTTTGGGCTCCGCAGTGCTGCTGTCCTGGTGGATGGGCTATGCTGTGCTGAAGACACTGATGGTCTTTCGTTGCTCCAAAGGCTTGTGGAACTACGCATGGCCTTTGCCTGATGGTTGCATCGAGTGACCCAATGAATCCTGTGCCCTGCGTGAATGCACCGGCAGTTTCTGAGTTGAAGTTCTTCGCCATGGAAAAAGCATTCAGGCTGCAAGTCATCCACTGAGTCTGGTCTCGAGTCGCGTCTGAGGGTCCTTGCAGTTGCGAACGGCGAACAGGACCAGCGAGGATACGCTCTTTATGGAACCTTTGCTCCGAACAGGCCTGGAGTTGGAGTGGCGTCAGTGGTAGTCGTACTTCAAGATGTCGATGCGCAGCTGTCTCCTATTGCAGAGTGCCAGTGCTGTGGAATCTACTTGCTTTGTCGGGTGTCTTCGTGCCATTATTTAGCTGTAGCTGCAACAACCTATCTCTCGCCGAAGCGGGGGCTGGAAGGAACGTATCAGGCCCAGAAGGGCGCCCCGTGCCTAAAAACAAGCAGACAACAGATAGTTCTGCGCGGGGCGGGCTTCTGCCGGTCACCACCCCTCCCACCTGCGCACGAACCAGGAAAGAGGAGTCACGGCCCCCCTCCCTTTGTCCTTCGGAAGCGCAACGCTCACGGACTGCTGGTCCGTGATGGCATCTGTGGTTCTGAGACGGTTCGTGCGGTTCGGCATGTTTTGCTGCATGTCTGCCTCTGAAATCCAGTTGCCAGGGCCTGTGTGTTTGCGAGGCTGGAGAGGGAGTTGGGGAGTTGGGGGTCTCTGTTCTGCTCGATAGTGGGCTGACGCGAGGCGAACTGAAAAGCTGGATTCTCTAGACTGCCGGTTTCTTGTTTTGAATCCAATCACTGGACATCGACATCCTATGTGAGGTTAGCTTTGTCCTGCAAAGCAATCCACGTCCAGGGCTTTAATCATTCGCGGGTCCGTGAGGTGTAGGAGAGCCGGGGCCACGGCGGATCAGTGCAAAGTGCCCTTTCTCAGATCACATCCGTGTTTCCTTGTGCTCGGTCGGTCGGAGTTCAGGGCATAGGGCAATCTTGGGTGCGGCAATGATGAACGACGGGGATGCGACAGCCGTGTTGCAGGTGCGAGTACTTCAACCCGCTGAGCTCCGTGAAGGCCCATCAGCAGACTTCCCAAACCGCCGTTGCAGCCCAGCATCGTGAAATCCGCACTGCTGTTGAGTAACTTACAAGATCGGCTTGCCATCGCCATCATCAGGCCTGACCGGTCGTGCCAAGCTTTCATGTCACATGTCCTTTGATCCATTCAGATCCGATCAGAGAAGGAAGGTGGATTCCATGACGCCGAGCAGGAGGGAGACCTGAAGCCCGTTCCGGTTTTCGTTGTGTGCGGCTTTCTGAATCCTGGCAAGGTTGTGGAGGATCAGCCAGGGAAATGAGGCCTGCGACCTACAAATGAGTGAAAGACTCGATGTCACTTATGCAGTGATGGACTGTGCGCAGCATGCTCCTTGTGGAATCTTGTGGAACAATGGCGCACTTTGGCTCCTCAAGTGCATCGACGGCCGGGAATTCTCGCAGCGGTTAGTGTCAAGATGAATGTTAGTACGGGTGTTTCACTCTCGACCCTGCATCTCAGCAGCACAAGCGATGATGATTCCGAATCCGACAGCCTGACCAGCTTCAAGCCTGCAGACCCGATTCAGTGGCACGACCGTGAGCTGCCGTCGTGGGCGTACGATGATTCTGCCGTGCAGGTCATTTCATGTGTCATGGAATGGAAGGCGCCAGCTTTAGTTAGAGTCGGAGCAGCAAGCACACGTGTATTGGCGTTCGTGTGGCGCTACGTCTTTTATGCTATGCTTGTTGTGTGGTTCTTCTGGGCTGCTTTCCCGCTGGTCGTCGCAAATTTTGCTACTTGTGACGAGCAAGGCGGCTTCTCTCGTATATCTGCTAAGCTGCTGATCATCTACGTCCCCTTCGTCTTGCTGTCCCTTTGGCTCGAGTGCAAGGTCCTGGCTGCCAAGATTCCCATGGAGGTGTGCTCCTTGGGTGGCTGGACCTTTCTTGGCGTTCGTGTCCCCTTCTCTGCATACTTCGGCGTGCAGCTCGTGGTCAGCGCCGTGAGCCACATGGACCTCGCCACAAATGGCATTGTCTACGCAGAGATTCTACACACGGCATCTTGCGACGGGAACCGTGTTGATGAGACCTGGGCGTTGGTAAGCCAGCGCTCGGTTTTCCACGAACGGTTGCCCCGCCTCAGTGCGGTTGCCTCAATCAGCTATGGGTTGATGGTCGTTCAGCTTCTCTATGCTTTGTACACTGGGCTGCCGCTGTTCACAAACAGCAACCCTCGAGTGAAGAGTCTCTCTGAATGGCTTACAATGAAGGCACCCGTGATGCACAGCAAGGATGACTTGCCGCAGAGCCCTTATGCCATCACGTTGCAATCATGGTCGGAGGAGGTTTGGGCCACTGAGCTGGTGATGTCTTTGAGCCCTGCAGCCCGGCTCACTGCAGTCATGGCTCGAGAGACAGAGCGGGTCAAGGTGACGGAGTTGGCCAAAGTCCAACAGCTGAGCGGAGCAGACCCATGGACCCGAGCTTCGTTGGTCACCTGGGCGAGGCTCATCACACAGCGGCTCTTCTTGACTGCTTGCTTCGAGGGGGCCCTTTTCACCAACATCACCGGCAGCGTGCTTGCCATCGAGAAATACTTGACCGGTCGGGCCGACATTCTGACCCTGGCCTCCGTCGTCTTGAGCAGTCTCATGTTTGCGGAACGCTTGATCTCAACCGTAAAGGTCGTGCGGGCCGTCACAGTGGTGCTGTGGCCTGAGCTCAACGATGACAAGGCTAGTGACGAAGACAGGAAGTTTCAAGAGCAAGGTTATGAGGAGATCAATCGATCGTCACTCAAGGGCTACCTGTTGCGCACGGTGACCTTGCTTTTGGGCTCCGCAGTGCTGCTGTCCTGGTGGATGGGCTATGCTGTGCTGAAGACACTGATGGTCTTTCGTTGCTCCAAAGGCTTGTGGAACTACGCATGGCCTTTGCCTGATGGTTGCATCGAGTGACCCAATGAATCCTGTGCCCTGCGTGAATGCACCGGCAGTTTCTGAGTTGAAGTTCTTCGCCATGGAAAAAGCATTCAGGCTGCAAGTCATCCACTGAGTCTGGTCTCGAGTCGCGTCTGAGGGTCCTTGCAGTTGCGAACGGCGAACAGGACCAGCGAGGATACGCTCTTTATGGAACCTTTGCTCCGAACAGGCCTGGAGTTGGAGTGGCGTCAGTGGTAGTCGTACTTCAAGATGTCGATGCGCAGCTGTCTCCTATTGCAGAGTGCCAGTGCTGTGGAATCTACTTGCTTTGTCGGGTGTCTTCGTGCCATTATTTAGCTGTAGCTGCAACAACCTATCTCTCGCCGAAGCGGGGGCTGGAAGGAACGTATCAGGCCCAGAAGGGCGCCCCGTGCCTAAAAACAAGCAGACAACAGATAGTTCTGCGCGGGGCGGGCTTCTGCCGGTCACCACCCCTCCCACCTGCGCACGAACCAGGAAAGAGGAGTCACGGCCCCCCTCCCTTTGTGGAAACGCAGTGCTTGTCTCGCGAACAAGTGTGCAGGCGAAAGTCTTTGAAAACGTGAAAGAAGGCGCAAAAGCAATATGGAAGAATGTGAAAAGAAGCCGCAGAAGCTGCAGCAATAATTAGTAATGTAATATCCATGTCAAGTTCAATTTCAAGAGCAGGGTTACACTGAAATAAACCGCTCCTCACTCAAAGGCCATGTGAAAAAGTGCAAGGAAGAGGGGGGCATCTTCCTTCAGGTTCTCGAAGAGGGCACGGAACTTGGGCCTGGGCAGAAGGAGGAGGTCAAGTGGGCCAGAAACCTTGGCCTTGCATGAGTGTTGGCACACATTTGACGGAATGCACGTGCAACGTGGGTTTCGCTTGAGCGGCTGAGGGAAGCAAACGTCTTGCCAAAGAAGACCAGTCGGACAAGATGACCCGATGCACTATAAAACAAATGTTTTCTGATCTGGATAGGCAATCCCAAAGGGTTTGCATTTTCTGGGCACCGGTAGTTGGTTGATTACTGCGAAGCGGGAGATGGAGTTGTTGCAGAAGCCAGTTATATGTATGTATATATCATGTGTATATAGTGAAAGTGAACTCTTTCTTGTGTAATGCTTCTATCGGGCGCCGCAAGACGGAAGGGCGTCTTGCAGGGTGATGATTGCCACCTGAAGATTTCCCGGCTCGTGACAGTTCTGTGTCTTTCAGAACGGCGCCCCTTACAGATCTGAGATTGCCGAGAGAAAAACTGAAGGCGGCTTCTGTGTTGAAGTCTAGAGACATCAAAGGGCAAAGCTTCCGAGGTAGCTCGCAGGGGTTACTTTCCAGTCATAAGGGATGGTTCTTGACCCAGTGACAAGAAGACGCAGCATGGCCAAGATGCGCTCGTGTTGCGTGGCCGCAGCATTTTTGGCCAGCACGATTGTGGGGAGTCCTGTCCCAAGTCCTTCGAGCGCTGGCTGTCGACCCTCTATCATCAAACAGGTCATCTAACATGGTTCGAAAAGGGGCGTGGAAGTGGACTTTCGCCGTCAATGCTCCCTTCGGACAGATGGCTGCTGAGATGGACCCCATGCGTTGGAGCTATGAATTGAGGCTTGAAGATTTGATGGAGGACATATATCAAGCATCACTCAAGGAAGCGTTTACCAGGCAGGGCTGCCACGGCTGAATGGAAGTTACAGACTTGTCTTCTTGCTCTGGAGTTGCTATTTGCCGCAACAGCTGTTCCAAGAACTTGTTGTCAGGAGTGACAAGAGGGTGACCATCCTCTTTGACGGTACTGTGAAGGAAGAGTACTCTCATCCAACGGATGCACTCCTAAAGTTGGAAGAACTTCGCAAAAAGGCCGGGCTGGAAACGAGAGGACAGACGTCAAGGTGGAATTGGAGTGTTGAAATTAAGTACACATAGCTGCCATAGCGAGCATGAGGATGGTCTCCAAAACATGTCGGGAGGACAATCAGGTTTTGTATTTGTGCGACTTAGGGCGACAAACTGCAGAGCTTGTTTTTGCACAATTTCGCGGCCTGTTGATTTGGTTTGACATTGTGCATGAATGCACGAAACCAATCAGCCAAGCCTGGTTGCCATTCCCTCACATCTTCCTGCTTGATGCAAGTTTTTCAATGGAGCCAGGAACAGTTCGCAACCTGCCAGATCCCCGTCTTGAAGTATTTGCAGGGTGCCACGATTTATATTTCGCCGTAGTGGCAAGCGTCGTCCTGATACATACTGTAGACGGACCACGTCACGTCTACACATATTTATATACAAACCCTTCTCCTTCGAAGCTGAGCTGGCAAAAAGGCTCATTTTCATCTCTCTGCAAAACGCGAGTCAGTTACTTGTTCGCTCACCAGATCTTAGTCAAGCGTGTCACAACTTTGTCACAACACCCCATCCCCACCCCGTCTCATCAACAGCCACACCTGCCGCAGGCAGTGACAGAAAACCAAGCAGAGGAGGGTTGGGCAGAGCAGGCTCTGAAAAGCGCTCAAGGTGTTGCTGTGGGAGCCGTTGTGGGAGTGGCGGCGGTGGGAGCCATCGCTGCGGGAGCGGCCTTTGCTGCAAGCCCAGCAGGGGTTGCTTTGGGCGCGTCTCTGGCTACGGCGGCTGAGGGTGCAGGAGGGCTTGTCGCTGCAGGTGCTGCAGCCGCTTCCAACATGACATTTGCGCAGGGCGCTGGTGTTGTATTGGGGTTGAGCGCCGCAGCCAATAGATCCCAGACGCCAGGTGTGGGCAGAGCCACTTGGCCTCTTCATTTCAAGTTGTGGTTTGAATAAAAAAAAGCCAAACAACGTAATTTAGCGTTGCGGGATGTTGCAGGAGCAACATGCAGTTCAAGTCACAACGTGCGGCAATGGTTTCAGGGTGTGGTAGTTGTTTTTTGCAAGAATCAGTTGATTATCATCTCCAGCGAACCGAATATCCATTTGCCAGGATGAGCTCAACTATCGCGGCGACTCAGAGGATCAGCGTCAAAGTGGCCCAGCAGAAGATCTCCGACGGTTCAAAAATCGATTCGTCGTTCTATCTACGAAGTACATGCAAAATGATCTCCCGGACTCTTGGTCTTCCAAAATGCCGGAATGTGGCCCAGATGAGCCGCTGACCTCACCTGTTTACAAAATAGACAGGGAGTGGCGTGACCAAATAGAAAAGTTTCGGCCTCTGGCCAATGCCAATTACTGGTTGCGCGAAATTTGCCATTCCCCCCCGGCTTTCATTCCCAATGCAAGCGCCAAGCAGTGGCATCCAAGAGAACCAAAGGACGGATGTCCTTGGCACGGAAAATCTTACCACCCTTGCGACAGCTGTGGAGGACGGGGGGGGGACTTGTGCAAGTATTGTGTCGCCCCATCTTGTGACGGCCAAGAAAGCAAATGCCCATATGCACAACGGCGCAAAGAGCAGGAAAAGAAAGGCTTGAAGCCGCTAGACCCACAGTGCTGGCGGGTCAGATACTTCCAGAAATTGCAGGAGTGCAAAAACACTGGGGGCATCTTCCTTCAGATTCTCGAAAAGGGCACGGAACTTGGGCCTGGACAGAAGGAGGAGGTCAAGTGGGCCACAAACCTTGGCCTTGAGTGTTGGCACACATTTGACGGAATGCACGTGCACCGTGGGTTTCGCTTGATCGGCTGAGGGAAGCAAACGTCTTGCCAAAGAAGACCAGCCGGCAGAACCAGTTTGCTGGTGTCTATTACTTTGAACATTTTCCGATCTGGATAGGCAATCCCGAAGTGTTTTCATTTTCTGGGCGCCGGTAGTTGGTTGATTACTGCGAAGTGGGAGATGGAGTTTTTGCAGAAGCCAGTTATACGTATGTATATATCATGTGTATATAGTGAAAGTGAACTCTTTCTTGTGTAATGCTTCTATCGAGCTGGGCGCCGCAAGACGTCTTGCAGGGTGATGATTGCCACCTGAAGATTTCCCGGCTCGTGACAGTTCTGTGTCTTTCAGAACGGCGCCCCTTACAGATCTGAGATTGCCGAGAGAAAAACTGAAGGCGGCTTCTGTGTTGAAGTCTAGAGACATCAAAGGGCAAAGCTTCCGGGGTAGCTCGCAGGGGTTACTTTCCAGTCATAAGGGATGGTTCTTGACCCAGTGACAAGAAGACGCAGCATGGCCAAGATGCGCTCGTGTTGCGTGGTCGCAGCGTTTTTGGCCAGCACTGATTGTGGGCGGCGGACTGCAAGTCCCGGGGGTCCTGTCCCAAGTCCTTCGAGCGCTGGCTGCCCCGTGCGCCCCAAAGCCATGCCTGCCCCACACAAGGGCCACACAGATGGAACTTGAAGCAACACATGGGCCTTCGGGAATGACTTCAGGGCAATCCGGCATGAAAAGCAGCATGTCACTACTTGGCTACAAACGAGCTATTTGCTCTGTTGACTTTGCTGTCTCTGTCATTACCTTTCACTTTGTTTCGTCCATGTACTCTAGGGGCCTAAATTATTACCTACACTACTTTGGGGGTTCCTTATTGTAGTTATAGTATAGTATCCCCCAAAACCCTATAATTATTTAGGCCCCTACGTTAAGTGTCATTGGCATTTTCATCACCACCTCCAGTGTCGTGACGGTCGTCGTCCTTCTACCTTTGCATGTACTGCCACTTGTGTGGCATGCCGTTTATGACTATGAGGTTCTCTGGGTCTGAACCCCACGCCCTGGAGCACTAAAGCCTAAAGTTCCAACCCCTAAACCATAGAGTCCTAAACCCCTAAATCCTGAACCCTAAACTTTAAACTCCTAAACCCCTAAACGCTAAACCCTAAACCTTGAACCTTGAATCCCTAAAGCCCTAAGGCCTAATTCATAAACTTCACACGCCAGGGCCTCCATGGAAGCGGACGACCTTCCTCGCGGGAAGTGAGATGCAAGGGTTCAGGGCTCTCCTGAGCTTAATGGGTTCTCTATGGTTGTTGTCAAAATTAAGGTCCCTTTTTGGGTACCCTAAACATTAGGTGCCGTACTATATAAGGGACCCAAAAAGGAACCCTAATTTTGACAACCACCTCTATGGCTTCCAGTAAGGGTTCCAAAACGGTTCCATACGGGACCCGTAAGAGCTTAGGTTGTAGTTTAGGGTTCAGGATGCAGGATTGGCGATCATGCGTGCCGCAGAGTCAGGCAAAAAGGTGCTTGGCACTAGTGTGAGCAAGATGTCCAATCTTCACTCTTCATTAGCTCGCGCAGGACGGCCGTGCGCAGGCAATGTCATGATATTGCCATTCGCATTTTTGTTTCTGAGTTGTGTCGTCTGCTGATCTCGTCGTTTTGACTGCCGGGGCCGTTTTGGATGCATCAGCTCAGTCAATCCTGCACCACTTCAAAGGCGCGGACCGTGTGCGGCATGCTTATGTCGGTTGCCGCCACTCAGAGCTCTATGGGAAGCCCGCACGACAGTTTGCTATCGTGTTGGACGTATTATCGTACAAGATTTGGTTCGAGTAAAGTGTGGGCAGCTCGTGTCGTAAATAGCCAAGATGCAAGGTATTGAATGAAGAGTTCATCAAGAAAGAGGACGAATGCATCTCGTGGTCTGTATTCAGCGTAGACAGATGTACACATGCAAACTGCTCGCGATAGCTCGCTAAGTAGCTGTTCATGTATGTATACGTTTATGTATACGTGTATGTATACGTATATGTCATGTGTATGTGCATGTATACGTATAACCATGCATATGGGTATGCATATGCATATGAATATGTATGTGCCTACGTGTGTGTATGTGTATGTGTGTATGTATATAGACACATGCATGTACATACATATATATATATATATGCACATGTACATGCACCTGTATGTGTGTATGTATGTATGTATGTATGCATGTATGTATGTATGTATGTTTGCATGCATGTATATATGTATGTATGCACATACATACATTAGTACATAACATATGCAAATGTATACAAACTTACGTATATCTTTGTTTGTTGTAGTTTCGTTCATGGGGCTTGTTTTTGTGTGTGTAGTCTATGTGCGCAGTCAACTTGTATATGCATGCATGTGAGGATGCATGTGTTGGTGGATGGATGTGCGGACATGTGGATGTGGATGTACGTGAAAGTGCAGGTGCAGCATGGCGGCGCCGCCTCCACCTCCCCCGCAGGAGGTGTACAACACCGAGGCAAAAGTGTTGCGCCGGTCAATCGTTTCTGTTTTGGCTTGGGAACTGAAGGTTTAAAGTTTGTCATTCTTCTGGAAGGCATTGCAGCTGAATGATGAAGTCGTTGATATGCTGATGCTGCTCGACTACGAGAACAGGCGCGGCTGGTGACGCGTTGTGCACTTGACCGACACGTGTTGTGCAGACTACAGAAAGCCTCAGAGTTTCCTGTCTGTGCATTCCATTCTTCCTGCGAGCGTGTTTTGTTCGAAGGCTTTTTGAGAGGTTAGATCAGCTCGAGCTTACCATGGCTTTGCTCCGCTCCGCCTCCCTGCGCGCCTCCCTCGGTGCCTTCCGTGCAGCGAGCGTGCTCCCGCGAGCCCTCCCCAACCTCGCGGCCCCGGTCTCGGCTTCTTGGTTTTTGGTAAGGAGCTTAAGCTCCAATAATCGGGATCTATAGTGCATAGTTGGGTTTCCTTGTTATGGTGGTTGGAAATTCAAGCCTTAAGCCCTAAACCCTAAAGCCCTAAACCCTAAAACCCCAAACTCTATAGTACGCTTATAGATCCCTTACTGGAACCCTCAAACTCTCTTGAAGAGCCCCCAAACCCTAAACTCGAAGCCCAAAAGCCCCTAAGAAGAGCCCTAAAGCCCTTAACAAGAGCCCTTAAATCCTAAAACCCCAAAACCCGAAACCCTAAACCCTAAACCCCTAAACCATAAGCCCTGAACCCCTGAACCCTAAACCCAAAACCCCCGAACACTAAACCCTAAACCCCTAAGCCCTAAACCCAAAACCCCTGAACCCTAAACCCTAAACCCCTAAGCCCTAGACCCAAAACCCCTGAACCCCTAAACCCTAAACCCGTGAACCCCTAAACCCAAAACCCCTCAACCCTAAACCCTAAACCCCTAAGCCCTAAACCCAAAACCCCTGAACCCTAAACCCTAAACCCCTAAACCCTAAACCCCTGAACCCCAAAGCGTAAACCCCTAGACCCAAAACCCCTGAACCCTAAGCCCTAAACCCCTGAACCCTAAACCCCTGAACCCCTAAACCCTAAACCCCTAAACCCCTAAGGTAAAAGCCAGAAAGTTGGAATATGATTATCCGAACCTTTCTATGGTAAAATATAGTGTATCCTACCATGATCGCATATTCCAACTTTCTGGAGAACCCTATAGATCCCTTTAAGGAACCCTAAACCCTAAACCCAAAACCCCTAAACCCCAAAACCCCTAAACCCCTAAACCCTAAACCCTAAACCCAAAACCCCTGAACCCTAAAAGGGGCTTTCAAAAAAAAAACCCTAAACCCTAAACCCCTAAACCCAAAACAAGAGCCCAGGTTTTGAAGCTCCAGGAGCCTCTCAGCACCTCCTCGGTGGGTCTCGGCGCCTTACCTTCGGTTAGTAGGGAATAGGGTTCCTTAAAGGGATCTCTAGGGTTTAGGGTTTAGGGTTTAGGGTTTAGGGCTTGGGTTAGTAGGCAATATTTGGTTAGTATAGGGTTCCTTTAAAGGGATCTATAAGGGTTAGTACGGAAATAAGGGTTCCCATAAGGGATCTATAAGGGTACTATAATATTGGGGCCTTAATAATCCTATAACTTACCTCTGGTTAGTAGGGAATAGGGTTCCTTAAAGGGATCTCTAGGGCTCCGTAAAGGGGATCTATAGGGGTTCCTTATAATGGGATCTATAGGGGTAGTCTTACCTTTGGTTAGTAGGGAATGGAAGAATGGTAGTAATAGAAGGCATAATTATACCCCATTCCTCCATTCCCTACTACCCAAAGGTAAGTTAGAGGATTTATAAGGCCCCTGCATTATAGTACCCTTATAGATCCCTTATAGTAGCCCTTATTTCCCCACTAACCAATGGTGAGGCGCCCCGCTGGCGAAGCGCCACGCTGGAGTCTCCGTGCTGGGCTGCAGGGCTCTTCCTTAAGGGAGGGGTTTTAGGGTTTGGGGTTTTGGGAGCTCCTTTTAAGGAGCCACTTAGAGGATCATGGGACTTAGTAACTAGGGGTATAACGAAGGTAACTATACTTGTAACCACTTATAACCCCACTTAGGGTACGTATAACCATACTTGTTAAGTCCCATGATCCTTCAAGTATAAGGGTTCCTATAAGGGATCTAAAAGGGTATTATAGAGTTTAGGGTTTTAGGGGATTCTGGTTAAGGTATTATAAAGTAGGGTTACCGTGCCCTTAGGGTTCCTCTTAGGATGAGGGTAAGGAACTAGAAAAGCTACCAACCTCAGGAAACGTTTTATTTGCCGACGATCCCCATTATGGTGGCCTAGGTAAGGTTAAGGTTCCTCAGCAAGAGCCCAGGCTGTGCCATTGCCATGGTGGCCGTTGGTGGCTGTGCTCAAGGCATTGGGCAGCTCTTCGCAGCTTTGGTGGTGGGCATGGCGCGCAACCCATCCATGAAGGAGGATCTCTTCACTTACACGCTGATTGGCATGGGATTTCTGGAGTTCTTGGCCATTGTCGTCATCTTGATCGCCGGT